AATTTAATTTAGTTTTGTGAATGTTATTGAGTTTAATTAGCAATTCAGTGGGTACAAATATTTTAGAGTATTCTGTACAAGATATTTTACATTTGTTTCTGATTAAACTAAACAAAAGTGCATTTTTACATGCAAATTCGATTATGCTTTTCATAAATTGTAATAAATTAAGATAGTACATTATAATTTAAGATAGTAAAAAATACTATTGCAAAAAAAAGTGTAGAACAAAAAATATAATACAATAATTTGGTAATGGTGTGAAGTCGGCGCTTACAAGCCGCTTGTAATTTTACAGCAGCGAAGCCATAAAGCCATAAACAAAGAATATTATTAAATAATATTCCCGTGGCTTATAATTGTACGGAAGCGCACTGATATAAGTCAATAGGTTCATTAAAAAGTATGCCATAAAAAGAACTATAGCCGCTTTTGTTGTTTACTTTTTTTTGCAATTAACTTTACACACGCTAGTGGACATTCAAAGTGTGCAGAAATTAGGGCCAAGGGAAAATCTCTTCAACGTAAAAAGTTTTAATAATAATTTAATTAATAAAATAATTATATATTCACGGTTTTTAATGCGCTGGTGAATTTAGATTAAGTGGAAATTTTAATTGCGATTTTATTGTCTCCTTTAACAAATTCGATATTGTCAGCGCATTGAATTTATATGCGGACAAAGAATTTAATTTTTATGGTATCAGGAAAATGTACATAAAATAAAACTGCTTTGATATCTTTGAACACATTAGTGAATAAACGTTCTTTCATTTAGTTTCATTCACATTCATAACGCTTAAATTCCGTGACCTTTTACACCTTTTTTTATGTAGGAAAATTCACACTAAAAACTTTTGAAAAAAATATGATTTTACTTATTTATTAATAGGCATGTCTGATTATGTTTTTTATTTTTTCACAACAATTCAACCAATAATTCAACTTTGTGTTTTCTTTTTTTTGGATTTAATTAAGCGAAATCAATTTGTCCCTGCCATCCCCTCATTTGTTCCAAATCTACGCTAGGTGTGGCCGAGATAGTCGCTCGACTCGAGTGTCAATGATACCGTCATTAAATCAATCATTTCGGTCTGCCAGCCACTTGCGGTCTTAATTTGGTCAACACGCCAGGCGACGAATATTTTATTTTTTTACCTCTACTTTGTTGTTTGCTTTTCTCTGTCCTTTTATTTATTAATGTTTGCTTTGCCTTCTTGTTTACCTAAAATTCTTCGTCTATTTTGTTACCCACATTTAATTTTAGCCGGACTGACAAGGAAAAATGATTATAATCAAATAAAAGATGTGGGCATAAGGACGAAATTCTTTTCTGTTTTTGTTTTTTGTATATTTATGATATCGTTTCTGATATTGATTGATTTCATAATTTATGGCAATCATTTTTTATATATTATTACGTTGCTTATCATATTTTTTTCGAAAATTCTATATTTTATACTAGTGATATATTTTGTACCATAAATGCTTCCAAGGTAACGTCTTCTTCCCTGAATAAATAAGTAACCATGAACAATTCTATCACTTTAGAATAAAAACATTTAGCTTTTATACGGCAAACGCAAATAAGTAATGTTTTAAGCTTAATTGGTAAAAGTGGAAAAAAGTATCAAGAATATAGGGCATGGAGAGAGAAAGAGTTAAAATAACATTTTAGACTCGTGTATCTTGATTAGTACAAAACGCCCACAGGGCAGCTCTGGAAAAACGAATTTATTTTTTTTCTTATTTATCCCTTTCTGGATTATTTGCTTGTGTTGTAGACTATAAATTCTGGTAAAAGCAACTGTTACTGCACTGGGTATTAGTCAGATTACAGCAGGAACACGATAGAAAAACATCGCTAGGTCCAGATTCAAATTCATATAGAACAAACGAACAAGATTTAGGCAGTAAAATAATTCATGAATTTATTGAAATTTATTAGCATAAGCATGAGGACCGTTGTTGGCGGTGCAGTGTATCTAGAAAAAGTATCTCATGGATGTGAAGTTTTATTATTTTGCTGTTTTGCCAACTTGCATTCTGACCGAGATGAAATCGTAGAAATTGAATTGAATTGGTTCATGGTGGGGGCAAATGGCAAACGATATGCGTATCAATGGATAACAAAAAGAAGGAGAAATGTATCGGCAGACAACAACAAAAAGCAGATCATCAGCAGACAACTTATACAAATAGCAAACACGGCAGAGAAAAAAAAAAAGACCAACAGCTACCAAAACACCCAACTAAGAACCAGTTAGATAGTCGGGTAGAAGGGAAACCGAGTAGAAGGCACATACAGTCAGTGATGATTATTTTTCCAAAGCTATTTTCCAGTCAAATATTTTTTAAAAAGAAAACAGACTTCCACCAATTCATGTATTGAATGTCATTGTTAAATTCTTCGCCTGGATTCCTGGAAAATCTTTTAATGCTTTAGCTTTTGATACATTGAATAATATTTAACATTTTTCTAAGTTAATTTAGTCAACGTTTAGTAACCATCTTTTAAACCCTTCTTAATTGTGTATTTACAATCTCTTTTCACAGCTTAAGAGATAATGGAATAAATACCTTTTAAACGTTATCGTTATACAATTTAAAGCCCTTTTGTTTTGTTGAATACTTTACAAATAAGGACACCATTTAAAACTGTCAATATTATAAATAAATTTAAACAAATCAAATATATTGGTTTTGCTTTGACTTACAATCAATTCGGTAAACGATGGAAATTAAATGTGCTTTATTTATGTGAATCCTTTTTGTTAAGCCAGAACCAACACCGCAAATGATTTGAACAGTCTTTAGCCTTTTGCCATTTTTGCAGGCCAACTCAATTTGAATTTGCCTGTTAATCTATCTATTTCTTGGTCTTTTCATCCATTTTCTTGGGGTAGTGATAACTTATTGCACGACTTTAGCTTTTCTAGTTTTTGTTTGCTGGGGAGATGTGGATTTCCACATCCTACTGGGCTGAGCACCCGCACATTTAACTGAAATGTAACTTTTCCTTCGGAGGCGCTGTTATTGTTGTTGTTCTTGCGCTTTTCCTTGGGTCTTTCTTTCTATATTTGTGTATCTTAAACGCGTTTCGTTGTATCCACTTAAGGCAGCTTAAATATTTGTGTAACATAATACAAAACATACGGGCTTCTTTGGGTATACTTAGATACATAGCTTAGATACATGGTTAGGAAAATGTGATATAGCTTTGAGTAGGGAAGGGGGTTAAACGGCAGAAGTCTAGAGTCATCTAAACCACAGACTAAGCCGACATACTATTGCACAATGGGGCAAACAATTTGGGTAATTAAATAAAAAATAATTTATCCAAACTAAAAATTGTAAACGGCATATAAAAAGATCATCAGTTTTATCACATTTTTAATCAAATACATAAATGTTCTTTTCCTTAAAGTATTATGTTACACTTTCATAATACAAGGGAATCAAATTACCATACAAAATTCGAATAACAAGAAGAAACGCATATCTACAAGAAACACAAGACTGTGAAGGAATATAACCTAAGAAACGAAACTCATTAAGCTAATCACAGCGGATTAGCGAAGACGGCTCTTGGTTAAATGCCAGAATATGTAAGCGATTAAAAGATTAAAGCTATCAAATAAAATGTATCCCAAGCCGGGATGATAAAAGGGGAAATTATCGGAAAAGAACAGATTACAACTGTGAAATCGGTTAAGTCATTAGGACATAAATACAGGCAAGAAAAACTAAATCTGATTCATGGGTTGAATACATTAGTTCTGTTTGTGTAGGCGCAGAAATTAAAATTCGATAAGAAGTCTACATAAAATATTTGAAAACCTAAATTTGTCAATAAATAAGAAATAATGAAGCAACATTTTCAAATATAAACACGAATCTATTTTGCAATCATCAAATTGTTTTAAAAGGTTTTTAAGTTCCCCTACAAACAAATTAAAATTAACATAAAAACTAATATTTTTACAAAATTTGCATCAAAATATTTATTTAAATCAGTTTGCGTCCTCTTTTTGGAGTCTCTACTGTAACCGTATCTTAAGTGTTTGGTTTTTTTTTTTTTTCCCGACTGTCCAATCATCTGTTCCACTGTGTGGGTTTCAACGTGCTTTGTTTACATTTCAAATGGAAATTGCTCTGTTTTGTATCTGTGTCTGAGCTCCGTTATCTCCTGCTGTGTATGCCGGAATATCTGTCTGCAAAATGCACTTCTACCATTTTCGGTTCGTCCTAATGAGTCTCACTCTATAGCCGTTTCTTTCGCACTAGTGCAGTAGTTTGTGGCGTACGCAAATATCGAAAGAACTTCATATTACCCCTCCCAATATCTTATTTTCCTTATCCTAGAACATCGCGAAAGGACAATACGTGCGTTAAATGGGACGTCTGACGCACACTACTTAACAAACGGACTAAGCCAACATTTTAAGACAAGAAGGAAAAAAGCCGAATGTCAACGTCACATTTGAAATCCCAATATCGAAATGCTTCCCGTGCACTGAAAGGTATCTAAATTTCTGCTGCTCAATTTCCAGATACAAATATTTTCCATTGTCCAGAAGTAAGCACTCTTTAAGATGTGTCTTAACTTAAAAAAAATATACAACCAAAAAACTTTAGACGCTCCTTTGCATTTGGTTTATGTCGGTAAGTTTACATTGTTCATTATAATTCTTTATTAATCATTTTTGAATAGAAGTACAAAGTAGAAAGGTTCACAACTGAACGATTCATTTTTCTATTTTTACTGAATTTATCTTTTCAAAAGTTGTAATCTTCTGTTAATCGGTTTACGATGTCAAAGTTATGGAAAGCTTACACACATTTGCATATACCACAATTATCCATACTTAAAGAACTTTCCCTTTTTAAAACATATCTAGTAATAATTTTAAATATGTGACCATAGAAAAAAATTAAAATTTGGCTAACAAATTGCAATCCCTTCAAAGTTTAACTTAACTAAAGCGTGAAAAACTCACCTTTTAAATGGTTTCCAATAAAATTGATTAAATGAGCTGAATTTTTTAATACATTTAAACAGATCCAAAATGCTTTGAAGATTTACAGAAATTCCTGTTTATTGGTTTTTTGCTGACGTTGATTGATTGATTTTGTTGTTGTTGTTTTGATAGCGATATTATCAATTTGCACACACAAACAGGACGATTTTTTTTGATTCGCACCGATCGCTTGTCGTACTTAAACAAATTATAGACACTTACACGAGACAACACCGAAGAACACAAATTTTTTATATTTACTTTATACGCAGATTAATGCCAGCGGATGATGCATAATAAGGATAACAGCAAGAACAACAACAACGATGTACGACGACGACGACAAATATTGTACATATGTACAGGAGATAAAGAGGCTCACGCACACGGAGACAGACACACGAGCGCGATAACGGTTAGTCGGATATATATAATCGGGAGACGGGGGCGGGGTCGAATTAACGCGACGGCGATTATGGCAATCCGTTAACGGTATCGTACCGGTTTTTATGCGATAAGTAGGCTACGGATGCGTTTTCTGAGCATATTTTCCTTCGTTTTTCTTAATTATTTTCCTTTATCCACTTTGTTTCTGGTTTAAGTACTGCGGGAAGGGGAAAAACACTGATTAGATTGATTTTTTTAATCAAAAGTTAAAGCCGCAGTGGAAAGTTATCTTCAAACTATTTTTTTTAAGTCCAAACAAGTTTCTTTTATCTAATTGCAGTATTTCATTTTACATTATACTATACTATAAAAAAAAGTGCTCTTCTCTGTTACAGATAGTAAAAATATATGATAAGAGAATTAAATTTTATTTTTTTTAACTTAAAACACAAATTGTTTTTCATGTTCCACCGATTATTGGCTAAATTACGGCTTTCTTTAAAATGTTATTGTTTTTAAAAAGGCAAGAAAAAAAATGTTGTTTTATGTAAATTAATTGCTTGTTTTAAAATAAATTTTCCGAAATGTATCTTTTTATGTTTTTTTTTAATGGATATTTTATATTGTCCGTAAACTTTATTTTTAATGAGAGTCCTTTATACGTTAAACTTTTCTACTTTGTCCATGGCACAGTAATATTATTGTTATTCAATATACATATGTATAACACCTGAGAAACTATACAAAACTGATATTTATGTTTCTCAGAAAAAGATTTTTGAGAATGTATTACTTTAAATACTGTGCTGTAGTTCTTAATTTAGATTTTTCTCCTGATTAATTTCTTATTATGACAACAGCACTTTAGTTTTTTTCGGTTGGCAACGCGCTGCGGACAAAGGACAACGACTGCAGAGAGATGCGAATGGGGAGCATAAGGCAAAGCAGAAAAACATTATGCGGGGGGTGGGTGTGAGAGAAAGCAGCTGCTCTTTCTCTTTCTCTCTGAGTCGGTGTGTGGCCAATTTGAAACGCCGCGAGAATGAAATGCAGCGAAACGAATGGTGAGCACAAAACGTGCCCAGGAAAATAGAGAAATAAACAAAATATAAAAAAGGATAATCCACCCAAGGAGGGGTGGGAGAGAGCGTGAGAGAGCGCAAGAGGAAATGTTCCATTTCCAAAACGTACACAAAACAGAAGACCTAAAGCCTTGCTCTCTCTCTAACTCTATTGCCCTCCCGCTCACTCCCGCAGGAGATGTGCGCGCCAGGCGAAAAATCAATGAAAAATATGTGGAAAACTGCCGAAATTTTATATTATTTGGATTAGCTTTGCTGCGGCTTTAACTTTTTTTGAAACAGGGTTTTTTCTAATTTCGGAATTTCTTATTTCCATATTATCTGGTATTTGTTATGATTGCTATTGCAATTGGCCAATTTTCGGCTTTATTATTGTTACACATGCACTCACACTTGCACTCGATTGCACATGTTTCTAAATTGAGCAATTACCCATTAACTAATTAATGTACACAATAGACCAATAACTTTTCAGTATTGCGCGACAAATACGTTTCGGTGCTGGAATTTGTTTATCAACGCGAAAGATACAAATGTATCTTTTTTTGCCGGATTCCAAAAAATATATGAAAATATCTTAGAAAACAATATTTTTACACGAAACCAAATATCGTTTTTCAATATTTTTTCCCGGCGATTTATCCAATATCGTTGTTTTTAGTGATATTTTTTGATGTTTTCCAACCGGAGAGCAACGCGCTGCAGCAGCGCGGGCGTTAAATTTTCGAATGAAAAGAGAATATAGTTGGAGAACCACGGATGGCACTTTCCCTGGCGCTAGTGCATTTTTCTGGCGTTAGTCCGTTTTTTGCTGGATTTCTCTCGCTCTCTTCGCTCCTTCCTACCCGCTAAAAGTACTCTCTTAAGCTGTAAAGTTAATCCATACTAATGTTATATCTCTGAACTGTTAAATAAGGTATGCTAATGTGAATTCAAATTAAATTTTTTTATTTATCCCTTTAGTTTGTAGTTAAGGTAAGTCTTAAATCTTAATACCTGACCTAATGTTCCATTTTTAATGCTTAAATGGAGCTTCTGAATAGTTGAATAGCATTTGATAAATCTGAACTGAAATTGTTTTAAAAATTACAAATAATTATTTTTCTATTGATTACAGCCAAATCTCTACCAATTAATAATGAAAATTAATTCTATGGGTTTCTTTTTTATTTAACGCAAATTATTGTGGAAAATGTGCTTAGTTTATTGCAATATTAATGGCCGATAAGTTAGAAAACTAGATAATTATTTAATCGGTCGTTTGAATGTCTATTGTTGAATAAAAATAAGAATGTTAAACATTTTACATACTTTGAGAAAAAAATGTTGCTTAAAAACAGTTTTTTAGAGAATTAATAATAATATCATACTGCCTGGAAAAATATTAAGAGAAATTTCTGACTGAAAAGAGAATGGAAATTGTAGTCGCTCTTTAAAAACTCTCTCCATACTTTAACAGCAGTCTCTTTCTCTCTTGGTACTAATTCTCCCTTTCACTCAAGTTCTCATTTAATGTGAGGTCCCTTGTTCGGAAAACTTAGTCGGTCTCTACATTTTTGAGACTATTCTGACTGTGTTTAAAAATAATTGTAAACTAGTTTTCCAAAATTAAATAACAGTTAATTGGAAACTCAGAGATGGTGCGGCACGATTCCAACGTTCCGCTCTCCTTGGGTGCGGGTGAGACTGCGCGTGTCATGGGCGTTTGTGTACGAATCTTTTTATGGCAACGAACTCTTAGCACGTGCTGTCCAAACATAAACAAATAAATAAACATGAAAAGTGGCACACATAAATGTTTTTAATCATTAAAAAAATTCAATACACTACCCAATATCATTAAGGGCATAACAGTCTTTAAAACATTATTTAGTCACAAAAAACTTCAAATTGTACCGGCTTTGAATATTGTTCACAAGGAAAACCTGGCAACTCTGCTCTTTCAGCACTCTGGTTCTCTCTTAAAAATAGCGCTCTCTGTTTTTGCCGGTGGTTTATATGTATTGCTTTATTTATAATTTACATTTGAATTAATTTACTTGCGCCAGCTCATAGTTATTATTTTTTTAATGCACGATTTTCATTATAACCAATGTTTTTTTCGCAATTTATTGTTGGTTGTTATTGTTAAAGACGTACATTAAAATACCAACCAGAATGTATTGTTGTACAAACACACACGAATACGAATGGAAACCAGTGTTACCAGAATCTAAAACGTCTTTTACCCCAAATGCTCTACACATTAAGTCTAAACTAAAAAACCCAATTTAATTTCAAAAATGTTAAAGAAGTAAAATCTCATAATTAAAAAATGACCGAAATTATGATAATTATAAATTATATTTCCTACATTCTCGTAGGAGTGGCTTAACATTACTTTCCCTCTTTGTATTATTATTCTTTCTGAAATGCACACTGAACTAACTGAATCCTAAATCTAGAGAAAAAATCTGTACAAATTGTTATAGGGTCTTAACTATAGATTATCTCTAAGAAAGAGTTATAACCATTTTCCTTTCATTTTGTGACAAAGTAATTGTTTGCTTAAAAGAGATTTTTATTCAGAAAATATATAAAAAGTTAAGTTCATTTAAAATAAAAAAGAATTTTACATCTCTCCCCGACGGGGAATTGAACCCCGGTCTCCCGCGTGACAGGCGGGGATACTAACCACTATACTATCGAGGATGTTGTTTGCCGTTTGTCAAAACACTTCTTTGATTGCCCGAACTGGGAACGACCGAAATTGAAACACCGTTCGTGTGCGTAGGCTCAAAAAGTGAACTTGGCGCATCTGCTTCAACATCCTCGATAGTATAGTGGTCAGTATCCCCGCCTGTCACGCGGGAGACCGGGGTTCAATTCCCCGTCGGGGAGAGATGTAAGGTTTTTTTTCCCATTTTATTTTTAAACGCTTTACTTGATACTTTTTAAAGCTCTTTAATATAAGATGTAAACTATTTATCTACAAAAAGTTAATTTTTTCGCATAGATCAATTTCTTTCTATATAGTTTTATTTAACGAACTGTGCCTTCAACTTTATTTATGAAAACCTTATACCCCTTTCCATAAATACTTTTTCAAAACTTCTTGGGGTAAAATACAATTTATTTTGTAATATCAATCATAAACGCAAAATAAAGTACATCCGAATACTGAGTGAGTGGGTTGGACAAGGTCTTCACTTAGAAGGTAATACAGAAAACGCTTAAGCAGGTACTACAGGCTAAGTCATTTAAAACAGTTAAAACATGGACAAAGTGGTTAAGAAATATGTATTTCTGGAGTGCAACTAGTCCACCTGCTTGCCCTCATCGCGATTGCGTTTGAAGGACACGGAATGAATGAGTAGGGGCGGTAGATTTCCACGCAGCATCTGGAGTCGCTTGCTCTTCTCTTTCTCGGGCCGTCGCAGTTCGTCCTTCGATGATCCTGGCGAGGCAGACGAGGAGGCCATTGACGGTGACATGGAGGCCAAAGAACTGGCACCCGGCAGGACCTCCGAACTCTGGGTCAGTAGCATGGCAGATCGGCGGAAGTAGCGAGGCATGGAGTAATCATCTTGGGTGGCCCGAGCTGCATTTGCCGTCTGAATGGAATAGAGACTCTGCGACACCCTGTACTTCTCGATGGTGGGCGTATCCTCGTAATTCTTGGGCAGATTGCTAAACGATATCGAGGGCACCTCGGGCGTCATGCTGATCTGGCTGCTTCCGGTCATCGTACCGCTAATGGAGAATATATCCGTTTCGCTGGCCGACGATCGTACATTCATGTGCGGAACGCTCTTGGCGGATCGAAGGATCCGTTTGGGCGTGGTAGTCAGTCCACTGGGATTGGCCAACAGGTGGGGATGGCGATCGATGAGGCGTGGTCGCAATACCACCTCCTCCACGACCTCCTCCTCCTCTTCGGCCTTCTCGTCCTCCTTCTCCTCCTCGGCAATGGCCTCGAACTTCTTGGGAGTGAGGGTCGACTGGCTGCCGGAGGGCGAGCATTCAGCTGAACTGGGCGCCAGGGTGAAAGTAATTCGTTTCTCCGCCGATCCCGTTCTGGAATCTAGGGCATCTCCTGAAAAATACAAGAAATCGTCTTAGGAAAAGTCTATCACTCAAAAGTTTCCCAGTTCCCATAATACTTGTAACATGTTATCTTAATAAAAGAGTATTTGTTGATTGACTTCACTATCCTAAAAGAGGGAGAGCCTCCCATTAGCTGTGTTAGTAAGAAAGGGATCTTTTCATTTTTAATTATTTTTTAAGATTTTTGCAAGGTTTTTATACATTTTTTAAAAATCTTAGTAGATACATTTCCACTTAAAGCAGAACAAGCAGATGCCAAGTAAGACGCATAAAAGGTTGGCAAACAAGATAAGGGTTGAGTTCATGACAGATAGGAAAGATATGGGCAGATAATAAGTTGCCTCGACTATGGCGAAAACTTTCGAGTTAGTATCTACTACTTTTGCAGGCCGAAAACCATCTCTAAACATAATTTTATTATTATATTTAAGGATTTTTAATTATATTACTGTTACTGTGCTTATACAAGGTCTAGGAAATTATTCCATTTTAATTTTTCGATTGTACCCATCTTCCATGTTGTACTCCTGATTTCGCAGTGCATTTCACAATATGTTGGTATTATTAGTCAAACCACTTAGTCAGCAAGATACATTGAAGCATCGAACGATTAAAGCCACACGTTTTCCTTATCAGCAAAGAAAATATAGTAATCGTTCTGATGCAGTCAATATTTACAAAAAAAGATTATTGTATATCTTATTTGCATAAGTACAATGGCTCTTTGAAAATAATTTGATGAAATATAAACTGTGCGGTCTCAGTTCACTAATTTATTTAAGTTCTTACTTCGATTGTTCATCATTAAACTTAAACTTAAAACCTTAACATAACTGAATAGATAAACGATATTCAAATTGTTTTTGTTTAATTATTTTTAAATTGCACTAGATTTTACTATTATAATATTTTTAAAATTTGTGAATTACAACAGTTCTTTATCAATTTTCTGATTGGTATCCCATATCCATAAATCAAATGTCGTCGAAAGATATACCAGTGATATAATTTTAAAACCTTCTGTTTCCTTGCAAGCAGGCGAGCACGTATCATGGAAGGTGATTTTTATATCGTCAAGCCCCCCGACAACGAACGTCAGTTTTATTATATACTGACGAAATTATATGACGGAAATTGTGTTATACCCAGAAAAAATAGTTAAATATGTTGCTCTAAGTACAGGAGACCTCAACTGACGAATCGGAAAAGTCATTCAACATCAGCAACAAAACGTGATGACTACCTTTATATTGTTGAGATATTATACACACGTATAACAATACATCATACAAGTATGAATAAAAATAGCACAAAGAAACAAAAACATATGAAAGTCTGACGACAATTCCCTGAAATCTGGGGTATTAATTGTTTATTATTCAGTTCTAAAATTATTGTTTTTCATGTTGAGTTATATTTGTTAATGAAAGTTGAGATAATCAAAAGCAAACAAAAAACAAGAGAGAACGCTATAGTCGGGTGCCCCGACTATCAGATACCCGTTACTCAGGTAAAGGGAGTGCGAGGGAGATGGAGATAGAAACTTTGATCACGCATAACTTTTTAACGAATGGTCCGATTTGAAAAATTTCTTCTACATTTCGATAGGTATTGATAAACACAATAAAACTGCATTTTTACTTTTCCGAAATATTTAAATTTTTAAAATCGTATATAAGCGATTGTGGGCGTTAAAGGGGGCGTGGCACCTTTTTGAAACAAACTTGCGCTGCGTAGGAACTCCTAAAATCTACATGCAAAATGCCAATCTTCTAGCTTTTATAGTTTCCGAGATCTCAGCGTTCATACGGACAGACAGACAGACAGACAGACAGACAGACAGACAGACGGACAGACAGACGGACAGACGGACATGGCTAGATCGACTCGGCTAGTGATCCTGAACAAGAATATATATACTTTATAGGGTCGGAAACGCTTCCTTCTAGCTGTTACATACTTTTGCACGAATACAATATACCCTTTTACTCTACGAGTAACGGGTATAATGACACTCGATTTGTTGGGCATTGATATGGATCAACACCTGGCATTATAATCTACACAAATATCTAGAATGCATTGAACCTTCTCTCCTAGAAAAATTGTCCTTGGTATTTTTAATAATTCAAATATAAGAAACGGAATATATTATTTTACATTAAAAGAAAATAGCTTTTAAAGTAATATTAAAATTCATAAAATGATAAAATAAAATACTCATTCAGATTTATTCCCTATATACATTTTGTAAAGTGCTGATTCCCCTTTAATTAAACTTCAGCGGTATAAGATAATAAATAAATTATATATGAAAAAATGTCAAACCCCGGTGTTCTACATATTTGACGGTTTCTTTGCAGCTTTCTTTTATCAGCTCAGGAAAAGCTGAGGAATCGATTGTTAGCATGCAAAAACTGATTATCAGGTCTTGTCCCTTATCTATAAAAAAAATACATGTACGTGTATTTTGGACAAATGGAAGCCACAAAAAATAGGTAAAAATATTCATATTTGATGGGTGTTTATTTGCTGTTAACATTTTTATATGGTCTTGATAAGGAAATAGAACTTTGACTAATTGGGTTTGGTTCATTCTGTTGATGAAATGGCTAGGTGGAGCTAACCTGGCACAGTGATTACCCAATTACGATAAATCAGTGCCAAGCCTAATAACCCATTAAATCATCTCCACTTTGGTTTGGTATTATCTCTTTCCAGATGCGATAACCAATATGTGACGTACACCCCAGCGCGTTTTTTAACTCCAGATGGAACCGGTACCGTTGGGAGCAGACTGCGTCAGTTCGAAGTAATATTGTTAATTAAATTTAGCTTCAGATCCAGATTTGTTCTTTTTCCGCTCTTCCTCGTTGGAGGTTCGAATGAATGAATATTTTTTTTGAGAAAAGACGTTAATTGATGAGTCAAGCTTGCGGAAAATTTGTATTCCAAAATAATCATAATAGTTTGATCAAATAAAAAATTTGCATTGCATATCATCTTAAAAAACTCATTTTAATTTGGTTTTTAGCTATTTGGTCTTTGGCTTGAATATCTCTTCTTTAAATAAACTTTATAGTTCAGAATTAAACAAATACTTGAAACAAGTTCTGAATATAATTTATAAATAATTGGTTAAATAATTGTGATAATTATTAAGCAAAAGATTTGTAAGAGTAGTATCAAATTTATTTTTCAGTCTATTGCTAAAGTATTTCAATCGTCAGCCATATCAATTGTCATCAGCGAAATCTTTCTAAAAGCGTTTAAATGTGTATATACTTGACTAACCGATCTCAGTCCCAGGCAATTAGTTAAGTCTGTTGAGTAATGCCAACTTGACAAACAAAGCAACTGCTCAAAGTGCACAAATTACTTTGCTAAATCACGGTTTAAAATGAGTCAAAGGCGCGACGAATTTATGATGTTTTAATGAGCATATCTGGACAAATTAGGAAAATCTTCCATTTTTGGGACTTTTTTTTTGAAATGGTAATAAGTCTAAATGTATTAGTAGTCTGTCGTGGGAATATAAGTATAAGGTGTGCGTTTTTTGCTTCAATAACATCATTTATCATCACATTCACAATTCGTAATAACTGCAGGTAAAAATAAATAGCCTGCAACTAAAGTGAAACCCAGGCGAATTGTTTTTAAAAACCTTTTTTTTATGAAATTTCATACTATTTACTAGTTCTTACTTAGGACTTAACAATTACAAGGTCCAACAATTAAGACTTAAATAGAATATGTTTAAGTTAACTTAAGTAAGGCTATTTAAAAGTCTAGATAATACTAAATGCCAGCGAACTCGGCATTGCTGTGTCTTTCGAATATTTTACACACATCGTTGTGTCTGTGCGGTATCGGCAACACTTAGAGCTAATTAGTTAATAATATTAAGTCACAATTTGGCGATATTGGTCACTCTCTTTTTGTTTTTTATGTGCGTTGCGAAAGTTCCTCAATCTTTGGCACAAATACTGCTAGTACCCATTGAACCCAAAAGCCCAGATCAAAGCTCAGTTTAGATAGAACTTGACCTTTGGCACACCGCTGGACACGATGCTGCTGCTGCGGGTGCTCTTGCCACTGATTTTACCATTACCAGCACCACCCAAAAGTGGGGTGTGCGCACCACTGGGGCCATCATTACCTTCCAGACGACGCAGCAATCGATCCTGATCACTGAGACGCGGTGTTGTCGGCATCTCGCGATTCGGCGAATGGATCCCGGCCAAATAGGTCTTTGTGCTGATCCGGTTCAGCTTGGTGGGCTGATGGTCCTGGAAGATCTGCGAGTTGGCAAATACTGCCAATATCTCCGGTCCCAAATTGGGCACATTAATCTGAGTCTCCCGGCGATAGTCCTCCTCATGGATCTTTGCGCTAAAGGGTCCACAAAGGAAGATAGATATATATTATACGTGAATTGATCATGCCAACAATAAACCAACACGATCTTGCCAATTAATCGCTAATCGCTCGCCTTCCAAACAAAGTGCGAAATGCGATCTTTGGCTCGTTGGGTCGGATTGGGTTTGATCTATCTATTAGTACCTCATTAGGCTCAGGCCCAAGCTCGAGTTGCCCTGCCTCATTTGCGGCTGATCGCAAATCGGCTGAGGCAGCGTCAGCGAATTATTATTATCCGCCGATATTGGCTGAATGCGACCGATAATCTGGCCATTTTTTCGGGATGCCAAATAGTCCTCGTCGTCCTCGGGGTTGTAATTGGCTAAAGGGGAGAAAAGACAAGCCGTGGTTATCTTTATTCGTAGACTATTACAGTTGAACTTTAATTACTAGAAGTCTTTTTAAGTAAAGCTAGTTTTATTAAACAGAGAAAGCATTGATACAAGTAAAATCAATTCGTTTAATCTCGTTTCCATAACTCGAAACAATTTTCGGGTGTAGACGACTTTTTGAGTAATATAAGTTTGACTTTAAACTCTAGAATCCAAACTTCCTACAATTGTGAAAATAAATAACCCACTTTTTTACACAAACAAATATTTTAAGAATCTAACTCTCATTTTTAAAAATAATGTTGAATATATTTCTTGTTCTAAAAAACTTGGTATACAATTCCCATATTATTAACTTTATAAAAAAATAGTCATTAAATTTAAAATGAAATACAAAAATGTTAAAGAAAATTAATAAAATAGTATACTCAAATATTAGTTTATGATAAGTAAGAAGTCGAACGCGGTCACAAATAAATATACATAAATGTAAACAACATCCTATTGAAAGCCAAACCTTATAAGCTCCCTCATATTCACTCAATCTTTGAAAAAAATTCCATAAAACTGATTTATGTATCTTTATATTTGTTTTTTTTTTCTTTTTTGTACTCGTACCCAATTTTAAATGCCAAACACGTAAAATCGCGCAAAAATCGCCGTCGCATTGTGCGTTTCAAGATCTACTTTGGGCTAGTTGTGTATGTGTGTTTGCCTGAGAGTGGCCGAGTGAGTATTTGAGGTACTCAGTTCAGGTAATCGTAACCGTCAACTGCCCAATTTAAGGCAGAAACAAATATCTTGCGCTAAAACACTTACCGATCGATTCATCGTAGCAAAAACGCTCCTCGAAGCAATTCCAGTAGAAATCTTCCCAACAGCTAACGGTCCACGGAAGGGGGTTAAAGGGAAATGGAAATGAAAAAAAACGCAATTCGAAATGTTAGCCAAGTAATTTGCTGGCCAGCCAACTTTGTTAAGCGAGAGGGGAAAATAGCGTTTACTCACTTTTGACAGCAGCGGCACATTTTGTTGTTGGCTTCCTCTTCCTCTTGCTTTCTTGACTTTTTTCCTCTCCGCCAAAAAAAAAGAGAATCCGAGTCGAAAATCGTTTGTGTTGTAACAATGCTTTGGTTTTGATTAATTTATGATTTCTGTTAGGAAAAAATAAATTAAATTCGGATTTGTGCGACTCGATTTTGTTGTTGTTTCGTGGGGAATGTGCGTGTGACTCGTCGTTCCAGAAATTTTGTTCAGTGGCTAGCGGTGAGCGTGTGGAGACAGCTCGACGTTTTATCGGCAAATGAAAATGAAGTGCCCCACAAATCGTATCTCGTGCTCTGATGACTCTGGCTCTCGCTCCCAAGCGGCTCTCTGCCCCCTCCTCTCTCGACTCTACACTTCGAGAAATTCTTTTCGATATTTTAATATGCTAAATTACATCCTTGGGTTTTTAATTGGAATTCCTCAATTAATAATATATGGATGTATACAACGATTTTTGCAAGCGTTATTGACCCCCACTTGCATCACTTATTATTATATTAATTAATAATTTGTTATTAATGCAATTTAATTCATATATTTTGGGTCAGGTATAATTATTTTTTGGTTTTAAAGACAAAAATTTGAAATTTTTCTAGGTGTATGTGTGTGTGATAAAAGTGAGTTGATTTCAGATTGAGAGCTACCGTTCTCTCTCACCCACTTTACTACCTTATCTCTCTGGGAGCGTGCCCGTGAGAGGGGGTGGTGGGCTGGTTGGGAGAGTCATTGATCGATCGCGGATGATAGATTACTGCCAGAGAGCAACGATTTTGCGACAATTTCAAACTCTCTCTCTCTCTGTCTCTCTCGATTAAACTTAAACTTCATCCACACTCTCTTTCCTTCTTTTTCTCTTGGCACTGTGGGTCAGGTGGCACGACGCGTTCCCAACATTATCAGATTAAAATTGCACGAACTTTCAAAAATTATAGCCATCCGTTATCTCATTCTATTCTTTTATGTTTAACATTTCTTTCGCAGACATTTAATCAAATTAACGCGCAGTTTGTGCAATTTATGTGTTAATTTAAATTAGATAGCTCTAGACTAAAAAATATCTTTTTGAATGTACCAAGAACGGAGAGACTGGCATTTATTAGCTAGGGAAAGTCAATGGTTTACATAAGGTCAACACTTAAAATTTTTATTTTATTTTTATTAACAATTAATACTAATAAGTTTCTAATTCGAACCTTCATTTCTTATTTCAAAGAGATGAATTAACATAAAATTTGATTTGATTTATACTCATTTTGTTCGGTTTAGCCCGCTTTTGTTCCACTGTAACCTGTTGCTGTATTGTGACACCTGCTCAAGCCTTGCACCGCCCCTATGTATGTGTGCGGGCGTGTGAGTGTTGGTGGAGTAATTGAAACTTTTTAAACTTGCACCGTGCACACACAGCGATAGCCTCGCTACACATGTACTTCTGTTTGCCTGCCTGAGTTTACTTAACGCTTTGAACGATAAGCGCTTCTGCAAATTGAGGCCACATTCTCTCCACAGGTGAGTGGACGTCAAGGGGGTCTTGTGTGGTGGGGTGGATCCATCCAAGGTTACCCCATCTAAGCATACTTTTAGGCTGTCAAGAAATGTTCTTAAGAGCTTAACAATCCAGGTTAAGAACACATATCAAGAATATTTCCTTTGTTTGGCGGTATCAAGTGTACAAATATGTTACTTAGTGACGTTTTTTTTCAGTTTTGTAAAGTCTTATCAATAGTTTGCTAATTCAATTTTGTAAAGTCTTATCAATAGATTGCTGTTTCAGTTGTGTAAAGTCTTATCAACAAATTGCTAATTGATTTTGAATGAGCTGATAATAATAACTTTGCAGAAAAGGTCAACAAACTAAAATGTGAGCAAAAAGTGATTGATGTTTATGATTTATAATTTCACCAATGACCAATTTTTTTAGTAATATGATAGAATTTAAATTACCTATAGGGGTAATAAGTTATTCAGTTGAAATTTGTAGGCCTTATATATTTACATATGTACATCCCAACCGAAGAGATACAAACACTCATCGGCTTAAAATATGTTAACTAAAGTTTGACTCTGCTAAAAATATTTATATGGCCTTGGCTTACGACTTGCTTGTTGCCTAGACCAATTTTTTTGGTTTATCTACAAAGTTTATTCTAAGAAGCTAATCTCAGAGAGCATGCTCTGAAGATTAAATAATTCCCTTCGTTGTTTTCATTTGTTTTGTAGGTGTGAAGACCCAACGCAAGAGTTGCCAAAAACAAATGTTTACCCGTTGTAAAGTAGAGGTTGGCCACCGAAAAAAGCGAAAATCGATGATTTGACAAGCTTTTCCAGAGTTCAAAGACCATAGCGAATCATGTGAGCTGCGTCAATCGATCAATTGATTGTCTTTTGATAATGCCGTAGATATATTCATAGCATTCAAAGCTTTCGGCGACAGTTGAATTGAAAAGCGCTCAACACTCATTAAAGTACGTAAGACGACGTGGAAAAGGGGATGGGTGCAGGGGTAGGACCAGCGGTAATTGAATGTCAATCAGCTGAAATGAATAGCAGTCACTTTGCTGCCTTTGCGTTGTTACTGTTACTTTAAGCCATGTAATGCAATTTGTTGATGTTTACACGTTTTGTGCGTGAAACTCATTTCAAATCGAATCGTGTTATACAACAAAAGTCGAGGATGGGGTTAAAAGTAATGGGAGTAGACAAACAAAGCCGAAGAGACAAAAAATAATACAAATATTATTTTGAAATTGCATCAGAACTGGAAAATTTATTGGGGAAATTACGAAAAAACAAGGATGAAACAGCTCTTACAACAACTAAATTTTCTATAAAATTTATTTCGATTTTTATGCGTATATATTGTTCCAGCCGAAAGTCTTTTCAGTTTGAAATTTTTTCCTAAATAAATAAATAAAATTGTAAGTTCAAATGTTCTCTGTCGGATTGCAATTCTATTTTTAATATTGTTCAGATATAAAAAAATATATATATTTCAGATTATATTAAGCATTTAATAAAAGCTTTCATAAGCTGGTCAATAAATATCAAATTAAATATACTAATATATTATAGATATTCTTTTATGCGTAATTAAGTTTTGCATAAGTTGTTGTAATTAAAAATTTACTTGACATAAATTGCAACTGCCTTGAATTAAGTCAAACAACTTTTGTTGTAGCAAACCGAAATAAACAACCATAATTTGAAGACAAAATATTCCTAAGCTTAGTCAGCTTCCCGTAATCATATGAATATCAACCTTTTTCCGTATCATCAGACTACACGATTAAAATGCATTCAGCAAAAAATATTTCAAGTTGTTGTCTCTACTTTTTTAATGGGCTGTGAAAAGTTCGCGATTAATATCTCGTTCAACAAACCTGCCAAATCATTCTGAATATTGTGGTTTTCTCGTTCCGAATTTCTTTTTTATATGCTGACTATTGAACTGGCCCGCAAACGGTTTGGGTCGCTGATTTGACAAACAAAATCGCATGCCACAGGTAAAAAATTGCGGGCGAATAACTTCCGCACAAAGTACAAAACAAATACAGCGCCAAAATCGTGAACAATAACATTCGGATTACAATATATAATTTTACGAGTCACTCAAGCGATGCATGCAATGCGGTGAATTCTTTCATAAAAAATTTAAAGAAAACGAAACCGAAATTATAAGCGTTAAACTTTTAACCCAAATCTAATAAAAGGTATAAAAAGGTTAATTTGAATTGAATTTTGCTTACGGAAAATCTTTAAATATATGGTTTTAATTCAACAGATTAATTCATTAGTATATACCTTGCACTAACTAAAGTATCTTATGGGTTTTGCTTAATTAACTTTTTATATGCCTGTCAAGTATCCCTCCACAATATACAGCCCCTCTCTCCGACAATATAAAACATTTTACGACTACAAAACCAGTTTTGTGGCAGTAAAAAATATATATGTACATATGTATACAATATAATAAACGACCAAATGAACATTATCTAGAATCTCTCACTGGAAAATCACCAAAAAGTTCAAAAGCGTTAATATAAGTTAGGTTTTTTTGCATTGCAAGGGAGAAACGTGTATTGTATTAACTTAATCTATTATACTTTATACTTTATTATTCATTATTCCATTTTTATCGTTAGCTCGCTAAGTAGAAATTCAAATTAAGTTCCCACTTCATTTAATTGAGCTTGGTATTGTTTGAGATATTGGCAAAGCTAAAATTTTAAATATGTAGGTATGTGAAATAAATAAAGAAAGCTGCGCAAAGTTGGAAGAGTGCCGCTTAAGTACAAATTGTTAGCATATATCATATATCAAATTTAATAGAGAAACATTTATGAAAGGTATTTTAATCGTTATTGCTTTAAATTCTTTTATAGATTAAATTCAACCAGCCCTATAAAGAAAATAAAGGTATTGATTTATTTAATTATTCTTTATTTTTAACATTTTCTTCACTAAACTTAGATATTTTATTCCATGTAAAATAAGTGTATGGAAACTTTTCCAACACGACTCGGATAAATATGAGTTTCGAAAAATAACGTTTTATTATCACCCCGTGTATTTATATCTTAATTTGATTTACGATGCTTGAGTTCGATTCCCCCAGATCGAATGTATTTCCCGTCCCCAAAAAACCAACAGATGGTTGTTTATTGTTGACTTTTGGATTAAATGTAAAGTGTAAATTACAATAACCCGTCAAATAAAATCATTCACACCCCTGGAGGCACTTGGAATTTGCCTCTATAACTGACCAGAAAGATCGAAAGCAGGTGTCATTAACCGCGCAGCTTGGCTTGCAGCTTGGATATATTGTATATAATGCCTCGTTCGGTTCATGGTAAACTAAAACACCAGACGACAAGTGGCGTGCATTGGCCTCGTTTCAGTTTTTAGGCTTTGACAGGCATCAGACATCAGCGACTGACTTGTATTTCGATCGAGTTGGACCTGCATTGCCGTCGAGTTTCTCTTGCCAACCCAAAACCCCTTCATTTTATCGCAACTTCGCAACTGCAGATTCGTTCTCGAATTTTTATACCCTTGCAGAGGGTATTATAATTTCAGTCAAAAGTTTGCAACGCAGTGAAGGAGACATTTCCGACCCTATAAAGTATATATATTCTTGATCAGCATCACCAGGAGAGTCGATCTAGCCATGTCCGTCTGTCCGTCTGTCCGTCTGTCCGTCTATCCGTCCGTCTGTCCGTCTGTCCGTCCGTCCGTCCGTTTCTACGCAAACTAGTCCCTCAGTTTCAAAGCTATCTGCTTGAAACTTTCCCAAAAGTTGTCTTTCTATTGCAGGTAGTATATAAGTCGGAACGAGCCGGATCGGGCGCCTATATCATATAGCTGCCATATAACTGAACGATCGGAAAAGCCATAACTTTGGTGTTTTTATACCCTTGCAGAGGGTATTATAATTTTGGTCAAAAGTGTGCAACGCAGTGAAGGAGACATCTCCGACCCTATAAAGTATATATATTCTTGATCAGGATCACCTCCTGAGTTGATATAGCCATGTCCGTCTGTCCGTCTGTCCGTCTGTCCGTCTGTCTGTCCGTCTGTCTGTCCGTCTGTCTGTTTCTACGCGAACTAGTCTCTCAGTTTTAAAGATATCGAATTGAAACTTTGCACACACCCTTCTTTCCTTTGCACGCAGTATATAAGTCGGAATGGCCGGGATCGGCCGACTATATCCTATAGCTGCCATATAACTGAACGATCGGAAATGCCATAACTTTGGTGTTTGTAAAGTTAGGAAGTTGGGATTTTCTATGGGTTTTATATTTGGCCAATCAATCCGACTTACCAAATTTCATAAGGATCGGCCGACTATATCCTATAGCTGCCATATAACTGATTGATCGGAAATGCCATAACTCTGCTGTTTGTTAAGTTAGGAAGTTGGGACTTTCTATGGGTTTTATATTTGGCCAATCAATCCGACTTACCAAATTTCATAAGGATCGGCCGACTATATCCTATAGCTGCCATATAACTGATTGATCGGAAATGCCATAACTCTGCTGTTTCTTAAGTTAGGAAGTTGGGACTTTCTATGGGTTTTTTATTTGGCCAATTAATCCGACTTACCAAATTTCATAAGGATCGGCCGACTATATCCTATAGCTGCCATATAACTGATTGATCGGAAATGCCATAACTCTGCTGTTTGTTAAGTTAGGAAGTTGGGACTTTCTATGGGTTTTTTATTTGGCCAATTAATCCGACCTACAAAATTTCATAAGGATCGGCCGACTATATCCTATAGCTGCCATATAACTGAACGATTGGAAAAGCCATAACTTTGATGTTTTTAAAGTTAGGAAGTTGGGTTTTTTTTTTGAGTATTAAGAATGCATCATATGAATAATTTTGGAGAATATAATTTACAGAGTATTCTGCAAGGGTATATCAACTTCGGCTCCGCCCGAAGTTAGCTTTCCTTTCTTGTTAAAGTTAGGAAGTTGAGATTTTCTATGGGTTTTATTTTTGGCTAATCACTCTGACCTACCGAATTTCATAAGGATCGGACGACTATATCCTATAGCCGCCATATAACTGATTGATCGGAAATGCCATAACTTTGGTGTTTGTAAAGTTAGGAAGTTGGGATTTTCTATGGGTTTTATTTTTGGCCAATCAATCCGACCCACCAAATTTCATAAGGATCGGCCGACTATATCTTATAGCTGCCATATAACTGAACGATTGGAAATGTCATAACTTTGGTGTTTTTAAAGTTAGGAAGTTGGGACTTTTTATGAGTATTAAGAATGCATCATATGAATAATTTTGGAGAATATAATTTATGGAATATTCTGCAAGGGTATATCAACTTCGGCTCCGCCCGAAGTTAGCTTTCCTTTCTTGTTTTCTTTATATTTAAGTTTTTAGAGCACGCGCACTCTGTGTTGATCTTATAAATTAGTATCTCAAGCGTAATGGCGCTCACAAATATTTTCGATTCGTGTCTGTCAGCTTGGCTTTCTGCGTTAATAACCATTTTGTTAACATTTATAAGATTCAAGATACGAACAGCAAAGCGATTACGATAATTTACTAAATTAAAAAGGAAGAAAATACGATAGATGTTTAAGCTTTAAACTCTTAACTGAACATAATTATTCTGGCCTTACACGATTCCAAACATATTGATTTTTTTGGATGAAGTGAATATTTCATAAAGAAAACCAGAATCTGGTAAAAGACTAAGTTGCAAATAAAATAACATGTTTTAAAAAAAAAACAAATTAAAAATATTTTAGAAACTAAAAACAAACAAGTTTAAAAAGTTAAAATAAATTTATTTAACATCGGAAATCTTGGTTAAATTGAATGGGAACTGATAAATTTATAATGTTTTGTTGTGGGATTTAATACATCAATGGCATATTTAAATACTTGTGAAACATCAGATAATACTCAACAGTTCTCATTGAGATCGTCATATCACCTTGTTGCTCCACAACGTTTACCGTAATCAATTAACTACTTGATGGGAGCTTTTAAACCAATGGCATTTTGTATGTTTCACAGAGATAATGGGTCCGATTAACAGCAAAAGTTCCCTAAATTGTTTACCCAGTAATTGTCTAGGGAAAAAACCTTGAAGCTTGAAAAGTGATTTCAGCGAAAACGGAACTGTTTTTAAGAATTACAGATTCCTATAATATTACAATCCCTTTGTACACATTTATGAATGAATGCAATTTATGTAGGCGAAACTCGATTCATGTTAATCGCTTGCATTATTTCATTGTGATCTTTTCAGTTCCGCAATTATATATCATTGGTTGTTTTCTCAGGTGAGTGAGTCACGGGTGTCTTATACTTGAATCATTCACTCAAAGCACGTCCCGCGTCCAAGATGCTTCCTTAAAATACATTCCGTGTATATATACGAACTTATCTCGTCTAAATCTGCTTGACAAGTATTTTGTTTGTCAGTCCATTTGCTTCAATTTTTATCAGTAATCACTTGATTGCTCATGACTATATAGCGAAAGCACTAAAGATACGTACTAGAAGGTAGATCGCCTGACACGGGGACTTGTCGATAATGCAAGTCCCAGACTGTTTTTCACTCTCTGCCAGACACAAAGCTAATGCATCGGTCGATTTCGAAAGGCGTTTACGAACTTTGATTTTTAAGCTTATGGCTTTACCATGGTATGGGTACTTTTTTCGGTTGTTTATGATAACAGATAAGATATGACGAAAGGAAGAGTTTGGGAATGTTAATGACGGAAAACTAATCGCTAGGATCTATATAATCAATCAAAATTGTGTCAGAAAGTATGATAACCAGAAATTATTGTGTTGACGATATTGGGGAGTAGCTGAACTCATTGAAAATCCAAATATTTCATAACGTTGGCATCTAATTTATAAGATTTAGTCAATTTTTGAAAAATTCATAAAAGGAATTATATTATGCGAATTCCTTTTATCTCGCTCTTGATGAATTGAGGATAGACATTGATCATAGATACTCACTAAATCAATATTAGCTAGGTTGATCACCATTTAATTAACAATTAAAGATCAACTTGATAATAACATTTGCTCTTTACGACTCCTATGATTATCAGGTTTAACATGCAGATAACTTTACGTTGATCTTAGCCCCTTATTAAGATTCGATTTCTAAGAAAACATGACTTGAGAAAAAAACGAATCAATCCATTTAAATATTGAGGATTAGTAATACGAGTACCAAGAAATGTAATTCGGTGACTCATAACAGAATGTACATATTCAAAGTTTTATCTGATTGTAAATTGTTTATTTGGCTTTGTACCGAAAGTGAAGAAGTGTTAAATTGTCCCGTTTGAAAATCCGGTATTTCATAATTGTTTGTTTATTAGCAACATTTTATGGTCGAGACACATGACAAGGCAAGACAAATCAAAGTGAAATAAATCGAAAATATCGAAATGAAATTTCGCATGCATTTGTAATCAAAACACAGACACACCGCTTTTTTTTAGATGCCTTATGGGATTGTTGATCGTTTCGGAGAATTCGAGAAAATCCCGATCAAAAACCGGAACACCCAGTAAAGTAGCAGAATCTCCTTGCAAGGCGCCAAACGGTTTTTTCCAGAGAAAGAGAAGGCTTATGGGGTGGGAAAGAGATGGCTGATAAGGTGGGAAAGAGAGGGGGCGAGCAAGAGTGCAATAAACTGCAACATAAATTCTTATGCTGAATAATTGCCATCACATCAGAGAGTTTTGGGACGCAAGGGGGTTTACTTGTTCTTGGAAAATCACGAGGCTCTGCCTCAGGGTCAACAACGTGTTGTATTGGGCATATTTTTTTTACTTTATTCTTGCCTGTATGGGTGTATTCAAGTGCGATTTCAATTACAGGTTCTTAAACAACGCTGTTTTGTTGTATATTACTTTTTCGTTTTTTGAATTTTTTCCACTCTCACAAGACGTTCACTTCACAGAGTTTTGTTTGGGTTTTTCCACCGGCTCCTTTGGGGCTATTATACAACTTTCAATCAACTCCTTTTTGAAGACACTTTCTTTTTATACATGTATTTTGTAAGCTGACATTAAGTGATGTTGCTCAAGAACCGATGCTAAAAACTGCGTCACAAAAATAAAACAACACAAACTTTGACGTGATCACGCTTTGAACGCGAATTCGACAAAAAACAAGCAAGAAAACAAAGTAAAGCTCGCCGATCGAGCCAGCATTTGGTGCGCGCACGTCTGTCGGGTTCAACAATCGTCGGCTGACTGAATGCGAATAAACCGGGGATGACAACAACTCCACCAGCCCCACCAACAAACCCCAACAAGGCCCCATCAAATCCGATGGAGCATGAGCATAAGCTTTCGGAAGTTGGCTCATACACGCGACGTTCGTATTGTATTGCTGATAGAAGATCTGACCTGGGCACCGACCTGTCATTGGCGGATTGTCGAAAATTGAAATTGATGGCTATCGTGCGGTGAGGATGTGACCATGATATTGAAATTGTTAAAATAAAATGTGCTAAGCAAAAACAAATATTATTGTCTTAATCCAATAAAAATTCAATTTATATTTCCACTGTACTGTAATACTTAAAACATACATATTATTTTAGTTCACAATAATGGGAAAAAACTAGTTTTAAAAAAATTATCACATTTGCCGCCAAAAATAATTATGTTTAAAAGTGCGATATTTCTATTTAAATATCGATAAGTTTTTCAACTGCTTCCAAATTAAATGCAAAAACGAACTGCTTGTGGCGATATAACACTACTACTGGCGAAAATAAGAAATGGCAAATTTATATGCATAGTACAACTGCACTCCGGTTTGAAATCAATGTAGCAATGTATTAAGAGCATTTAACGACATACATATTAAGCTTAAAACTTTAAAATCAGCGGGATACACCTTTTTTTTAAGTTTGAATATAATGTTTATTAGCAAGTGCGCCCGTGGACTTTTTACTAAAAAATCTCAATCAGTCATGTATAGTTATTTTTTCTAAGCATCAATAAAACCGTCAATTATTAAAATCATCATAAGAGTATTGCAACCTCTATAAAATTGTACAAATGAGAATTGAATCAACACTAATATCCTGCTTTTATGTTATAATTTATTTTTAAAGAGTTAATGTTCGTATAAATCTGTCAAAGAATAATAAAGGAATTTTAAATTCCTGTACTGCTCTAGCTTCATACCCTATACATATTGTTTGACTCAAAATTATTGTAATTTAAAATAAATATCGTTTCACACACAAAAACTATCGCTCACGTATGCCATCTCTAAGCCTCACTTATAATCGATATCACAGTCTCCGTTTCGGCCATCACTACGCTCGACCTATTTTCAAAGAAAAAAGGCTATATTTTGCGAAAAACAGCCCGAACAAACAGAAAAACACCCGCTTTATTAGCCAAATGTGCGCAAAATGAAAGTAACAATTAAGTCATGGACTGGAGTTGCAACTTGGCGTTGGATAGCGAATGACGAGAACTGCGGTATCTGTCGCATGTCCTTCGAGAGCACTTGCCCGGAGTGCGCGCTGCCCGGTGACGACTGTCCCCTGGTGTGGGGTGTCTGCTCCCATTGCTTCCACATGCACTGCATCGTCAAGTGGCTGAACCTGCAACCGTTGAACAAACAGTGTCCCATGTGCCGCCAGAGCTGGAAGTTCAACGTGCACTAAACCGCGTTCTAGTTCTAGTTACCAAACCCACAGATCAGCAGCAGAAGCATAAGTAGCAGCAAGAAACCGTAGACACAGTAAGCTTATCAAATGATGGAGAACAGCAGCGGCGATGCCCAGCCGCATTTGACGGGTTTGCCGCCACTGCCAAAAAGTCTGAGTGCCGCCACGGCGGCTCCTGTGGCCATTGGCCCGCATCCACGCACAGGATCGCCAGCGTCCAGTGTTTCCGCTCTGACCGCAGCCGCCGGAGAACTTTACTTGGGCCCCTCCACCTCCTCATCGGCAGCAGCGGCCAGGAATCGCAGCTACAACGGACACGGGCATAGCCAGCGACATGGCAGCCTCTCCTCCACACAGGAGTCTCTCAGCGATCGGGAGTCCGTGCACAGTCGCGCCTCCAGCACACACAGCGCTGGGGCGGGTCACACGCCCACCAACAGCTCGAGCAGCACTGCAGCCACCTCGTCCACTATCGACAACCAGCTGGCCATCTTGCGAAGGGAAATGTATGGCTTGAGGCAGTTGGATCTTTCGTTGCTGTCGCAGCTGTGGGCGCTCAACGAGTCGATACAGGGATTTCGGGTGTTCCTTCAGGAGCAGGACGCTCTTTCGCCGCCCTCGAGATCTCGCACGCCTTCGGATGCGAATTCTTTGAGCTCCGACGAGGAGGACGATGGCTCCTATGCGCCAGTGGCCTTGCCCAAGATGACGGACGCTCCTGGAGGTGGTAGTGCGGGTGTGGTGAGCTCCAGGGCCATATCCTCGCCGGCAGCCAGTGGGGGACTGCCCACCAAACTGGCCACGGGTTCGACCACATCACATGCCTCGACCAGCTCGACTTCGGGAACCTCGGGCTCATCCTCAGCTGCCTCCTCAATGGGCAAACATCAACAAATGCAGCAGCAACAGCAACAACAGCAGGCGGCTTCCCATTACCATCAAAGGCCAGAGCCACCACCCGCACCGCCAGCACAGCATAAGGCGCATCCACAGCTGCCGAGAATCCTGCAGCAGCGCATGCGACAGGCTCCGCCTCCACCGCCACCCACTAGGCAAAAGGGGGGCAGCAGCAGTAGCCACAGCATTAGCAGCAGCAACCACAGCATCAGCAGCGTCACCCAGCCGCATCCACATCCACACCAACACGCCCATCACTCGCGGCCCGTATGACAAAACCCGTTCTTGGACTAAGCCAAGTTCAAGAACAGAAGCAGATTTAAAAAGCAGCCGCTGCCAACACTTCGGAAAGGGTCAATTAGACGACATTTCTTAAAGAGTCAATTCAAATTCAAGTGCAGAAAGATCACACTCACTCTGTCAACACTCTCATCTCATAAAGCTTGCCATGTCCTCATTCTTGATATTGAAACACGAAACATATGAACGGTTTATAAATGTTTTTTGCGAAACGATGAAAATGTCTTTGAATGTAAGCGTACCACTTTTCACGTTTAATATTAAATAATAAACACAAGAAATTTGTATTCAATAATAATCGCTAAGTAGTAAAGGATAAGATCCTTATATGCATCTATGTATTACTCAAATTGTATAAACATAAATTTAAAATGCTTGAAATTCCGCATCGAATTCATAGATCTAGTTCTATTATTTGCGTTGACTCTGAAATGTTTTGTTAGAATGCATACTATCCTACAAAAACTAAATCAAATTGTTCCAACTCATGTAGCACTAACCAAAACTAAACTCTTGGCCTAAACATATGAATATCTGGATTGATTTTATAGCCCTGTTAAGTCTTAGTTTCCTAAGGGGAATCGAACGAAAAATTATATTATACGAACATGTATCTGCATCTCAAAGCGAAACCTAGCTGATCTTACTGTTAGTCCAATAATCCTATCATTAACACTCCAAAATCTAGGCATATATATGTAAAGCTCAAGTATTGGAGCGAATCCCCCGAGCAGTTATACAGTGCGTTTCAGAACTGTAAGTCAGTTGCATACAAGTTCCATTAAAAATGCTGTAAAGTTGAATTCAAGAGAAAGTCAGTGTAGGAAGTATAACGATTCTCGATTGGAGTTTTCCGTATATTTTAAAATATTTGTATTTATTTAATGGACACGGTTTTAGATAACTATATTAAATAATGTCCAACTGTCCTATAGCTTTGGAACGCATTGTATTTAATATTTATATACAAAATACATATACAATTTTTACCACGTAACAGTTTAAAAGGCGATAATTGATGAAACACAGTAAATACCATCGAGTATTTACCATATCACACGCATTATATGGGAGATTGCGAAATGAAACAAGATTTACATATATTACCTAATCGAAAATTAAACAATTTCCGATGTTTATTGTTAGTACTTAGAATTGTTTTATTTCTCAAAACAAATTCCTTACAAAATCTACTAAAATTAAAGCACCTTATGAAGTTTACGATTGGAATTAAAATCCACACGATCATAATTTCCTGTTCTTTATTTCGATTTCAAACACACCATTCTAAAAAAGACAACAAATCAAAAATCTGTGGAAATTAGAACCAACCAGATCACCGAAAGATCGATATATTAGCAATATACTATACTGCAGCACAAGTCGCAAAATGTAAGCATTGACTTTAGCTTTGAATACCTTGGCTCAAAAAATGGGAGATGTATCGGGAAATCTTTCAAGGATCGATTTCTTGACGTCGAGATCATATTTCAAGGACATGTAAGAGTTAACTCTTAGCAACAAAATATTGGACATATAATTTTAATATAAATGACAGTTTTTCCATTTCTTTTGATTTAAATGATCAATAATGTTCAATAGTAAGTTTTAGTTGAAATTTGATGCGCATTATTTACACTTTATGGCTTTGTAATATATATTTATTTAAATGTGATTTTATAATTTATTATTTATTAAAATTGATACTGGTAAATCCATTAATGAAATTAAATTTGTGTATTTTTTTTTAAATATTTTTTAAAGACCTTGTGTGTTCTAGTAAGACTTCTAAAAAGCCTGAGCCTGACGTAAATAATTATATTATATCCAAGTTATTCAAAGTTGCATCAAGCTGAAATCATACAACAAATTTGAGATTAACTTTTGAAAGCTTTTGCTGTGTACAAAAAATGCAAGCAAGATATCGAAAATTTACACTGACCGAAACATATACAACTTTGGGGTTGAGATAAAAACACAACTAACGGAAAAATTTAATTTATACATTTTTCGTTTTGATCAAAGATGGTGATGATATCGTTAAAAAGTGTATTATGTAATGGCAATTTATTAATGAAATAAAAGAAACGATACGATACGAATGAGTCGATACAATAAATATCAAATTAAATATCATTGTGCAAATGTGGAATTAATTACAAAGTTCTAAGATTTGTTTATTTTTTGTTTGTTTCTAGTGACAGACTAAACAAACATTTTTTTGCGGGTCTCGACAACCTTAAGTCAACTTCTGGATGACTCAGTCTAGGTGCTGAATGTTCCACAGCAATCCGACGGGATCTCTGCAAAAATAAACATGTTCAATTAAAAACCATGATAAATATTGATACTTATATCTATTAGTGGAATTTAGCACAAGGAAATAGGATACTTCTACTAATTTCTTGAGAATTTTATATTGTCGATTACTTACTGTTTGTAGGCCCCCAACCTAGTGGGACGCCCAAGCGACTGTTCTCTTGCTTGAGCCACTGGTAGAGTGGGTCAAAGTACTCCAAAAGAGCGGCTGGATCCATTTCCGTCTCGCCCGTGAATTCCTGAAGCACCTCCTTCCAGTGGCGGGAGCTACCCTTCGAGAGGAACTGGCTGAGCGATCGTCCCGCCGCCTTGCTGCCAAAGATGTCGCAGTTATCCAAGGTCAGACGACTGTCATTAGGAGCATATTGTCCGGCCTTGCTGCACAAGGCCTTGTGGAACTGAAACTGGAAGATGTGGGCGGCAAAATAGCGCAGGTACTCCACATCCGCATCTATGTGATACTTGGCTGGCGGATCAAAGTCCTTTTCGGTGCGAAAAACTGGCGGCTCGACTCCTCCGAATTCAGATCGCATCTGCCAAAAGCCGCAGTTCCATTGCGATTCGTCCAGTTCATTGCGGAAAACTGCATAACGATACTTATCAACAGCATAACCGAAGGGCAGAAAGACAATCTTTGAGAGAGCCTGCTTAAAGAGCTGATTAATTCTGCTCTTCTCGTCCAGTCTTCCATTATCAATCAATCCAATGGCCTTTAAATGTTTCGCGGACATTACCGACAATGCGATGACATCACCCACAGCTTCATGGAAGCCAGGATTAGGAGCTCCCCGATAGACAGCCGGCTGCTGTTCATACTGAAGATAATATTGGATATGACCCAGCTCATGGTGCACCACATAGAAGTAGTGGGTGTCCACCTCAGTGCACATCTTGATTCTCACATCGCTGTCCTGGTAAAAGTCCCAGGCCGACGCATGGCACACCACCTGCCGGTCTTCCGGTCGGGTGAGCACGCTTAAATTCCAGAAGCTGGGTGGAAGTGCTCGCATCCCAAGAGACTGGAAGAACTGATCTCCCAGGTCAAACAGTTTCTGGACGGTGTACCCCTGTCGCTCCATCTCAGCTTTCACATCCACGAAGGGCTTCTCCGGGTACGGAGTGAACAGATCGAGCAGCTCGTTCCAAGATTGACCCCACATGTTGCCCAGCAAGCTTATAGGGATATTCCCCTCCGCTGGCATTACATCCGGACCGTAGTGCTTCCGCAGACGATAGCGTACATAGCCGTGAATCTGCCTGTAGAAGGGAAGCAGCTGCTTGAACGTGGCGTCCAATTGTCGCTCAAAGTCGGCGTCCTCGTAGAACTGCACCCAGTAGTCGGCATATGAGCGGTGATCTTTAGAAAGATAGAAAAATTAATATATATTATTTGTCAGTCTTAGCCAACAACCGTTTGCATATTAACTTTTAAAAAAGTAGTTTAATTCGTAAGCATTTTCCATTATTAATTCTTGCTATTGCAATCCAAATCAAAGTCTAAAAAATGTGAAAGCTCCTACTAACCTCATATTAAATAATATTATTGTATACCAACTGTAGGAGCAATTTAATTGATAGTAAACTATTTATAGGAGTATTGCGAGGTTTTTTCACATAATCAGTCACTAAAAAAAAACCTTTAGTATAGGCTTTTAAATGTTTAAATTATAAATGTATTTATTTGCACCATTTGTTAACTTTTAATTGAAGGCCATGAATGTGCAATAGTAAAATGAGAAGTAGGTCTCCAAATACCATTCTAAAGATAAATGCCAAATTGATGACCCAATTAGAGCCCAATTTCTGCCGGTGTTGGCCAGACAATTCTCTTATTTTGGGTCAGACAGCGGGTTATCGGGGCATCCATCACTCACCATTCAAATGGGACGCCTTGCGCGTCAGCCGCACGTACTCGGCGAAGTGCTCACGCATGGGGGTTCCCGCCTTGTCGTACCACTCCCGCCAGTACCAGGCCAGTTCCGCAGGATCCCGGCTGTGGGACAGGCGCTCCTGGATGTGGGGCTCCAAGGTGAGGGAGCAATCACTGCGATTTGTGTAGGAGCACACTGTGACGGTGGCATAGTTCGTCTGCATTGAACTGATGGCATTCTGGAGGGCCAAATAGTCGTCGGAATTCAGGGCGGAGGCCCCCAGTTTGGAGAGGTGCTCAGCCTGACGACGTATATCCGCATCCTCGGACTGGATATAATCGGACGCCTTTATCCGCTGGGCTAGGCGTTTATTAAACTCTGCATTGCGGGCATAAACCTCGATCATGGCCTGGCGGTTTGGCTCCGAGACATTGGTATTATAGGTATACCCGGAAAGGAACTCCTCGTGGAAGCGCCTCCGTAATTGCTCATTTTCCAGCTCAAAAAACCTTCGTGCCTCCAGCACCGAAGCCGAACAACTATTGCCCATGGACAGGCCGTGGGGTAGCTGATAATTCATACATATAAGTTTAAATATAGAATTAGGAGAATTCCAAAAGATTTCGGCTAGAAAAACTTACCCACAGCATCAGAACTAGCCATAAGGCTGTTATATTAATTGTCCCCATTGCTTTAGCGCCTTTCCCGGGTGAAGTAGCTGATAACCAGCTACTTTGCACTTTGAATTTTACTAAATACGGCCCTAAACTAAGACGTTACAAATCCAGATTGCTTTGTCTTCGCGCCGCCGTTGTGAAGCTACTGAATCCCCGATGCCGCCGAGAACTGTTTTTATAAGAGCGTTCAAGATTAAAGCAGTTCACAGTGCTGCCACCATGGGCCGCTAGAAATCAACAGATTAAATATAAACATCTTGGCCAAACTTGGAAAATTATAATTTTAGCTGTACAAGATTATAAAATTACAAAATATAACTAATGCAGTATAAATATAATTACAGCTTCAGAATAATAAAATAAAATAAAATGTATTAATTCAGATTAACATATAAAATAAACCAATATATGATATCTAGTGCTGTTCTTGCTTGTTATTCAATTTTGTAATGGGAAATATTTGTTATTACTTATAATTACTTATAAAAAATAACTTAACTTTATTTATAAAAAAATGTTAATTAATCTGTACAAATTAATAAAAGATAAACAGAAGTGTATTGTTTTTTAAAATAGCTAGGTAGCGGTAAAATGTCTGATCGAGCAACATTGGGTTCATGCAATTTCCATGTCGATACAATTTTAAAACTGCTTGCAGTGTCATATTCAGTAACAATCACAAGAGTGTGCGTGTTCTGACATTTTACACCTGCCATTGCAATCTACTTAAATTGTTTATTCTTTTTGTGGTTGAGTGGATTGCTAACGGCATTCTGTACGGAATCCCAATTTTTGAATTCGTACTATTGAAATCGAGTAATTCCCTAAACCTACTAGTCTTTAATTACAGTAACGAACATTTAAAAAACATTTGGAAAAAATTTCTGTAGCACCTAAATAAGGGTCACAAGGTGTTATATATATATTAATTTCCTCTGTATCTAGTAGTCGTTCCATTTAACTTTAACATGTAATTTGATATTATAGAACGATTAAGTAAAATCTATAAATTAATATATAGAGTTGTTATCATTTATTTTAAGGGATGTCGTTGGCTTTATCAAAATCCGACTACTTCCTAAGGCGACAAAGTTTTGATCAGAATGATAGATTTTAAAAAAAAATTTAAAAATTTAAAATTGCCATTTTACTTTCGTTAATGCCAGAAAACCATTGTATGTTATTAGAAATGTTTTTTTTTAAAGGCAGAACTGTATTATTCATTTTATTAGACTAGCTTTGAATTAGTGATAACAAAAAATAGGTGAAAACCAAACAATCAAATGCAATTGCAGGAAAAAAACAATGAAATAATTCTATATATATTCAATCGTATATCATTCGTCGAACTAATATATAGGAAAATTGGGGTCTACACTGTTTGTCCAGGCGTGCAGTCCACCAATCAGGTCTCGAATGGAATGCATGGGGAATCTATTGCGCACATGTTGAACGGCGATCTGGGAGTCATTTCCCCGCCGGCAAAGCAGGACTATGGGCAATTCTTTATCCTCCAGCTGCTTGGCGAACCGCTTCAGGTAACTATCGTCCAGGATCTCCACAAGCGGCACATTCACAGCCTCGGGCAATTGGCAAATCTCGAACTCAGCCGTTGGCCGAACATCTATTAACAGATGGGGATGTGGCTGGAGCTTCTCCTGGTACTCCTTTACAGACAGGCGCTCATCCGCCGCCAGTAGCTGCAAGGGATTGTCCTTGTCGGTGGCGTGCATCCCGCAGAACATCTCGTAGTCGATCAGCTCCGTGATTAGCGGCTGGGCGGAGCACACATGACAGTTGGGCCTCTTGCTGCGTATACGAATGTTGCGGAACAAGCTGCTGCTGCCATCAAATATGAGTAGGCGACCGGCTAGGACATCGCCCATTCCCACAATCACCTTGATTGCCTCCAGAGCCTGCATTGCTCCTATGGTGCCAGTGACGGCGCCCAGGACTCCGCCATCGCCGCAGTTTGTGACCGCTTCCGGAGGCGGAGGCACAGGATAGATGCATCTGTAACAGGGTCCATTTCCATAGCTATATACGGTTAGCTGACCATCCATCTTAAGGGCACTGCCCGAGACGAGGGGTTTTCTTAGCATCACGCAGGCATCGTTAAGTAGATATCGCGTGGGCACATTGTCGCTGCAGTCCAGAACCACATCGTAGCCACGAATAATGTGCATGGCATTCTGACTGTACAGCAGCCTCGAGTGACAGCGTATTTCGCAGTGCGGATTCAGCTCCAGCAGGGCAATCCTAGCTGATTCCGCCTTGGATATGCCGAGTCGCGCCTCTGAGTGCAGGATCTGGCGGTGGAAGTTGCTTCGTTCCACCTCGTCGTAGTCAATGAGCCCCAGGTGTCCGCATCCAGCTGCCGCCAGATATTGTGCCGCCGGGCATCCCAAACCGCCAAGCCCCACAATCAGCACGGAGCTGTTTTTCAGCCTCAACTGTCCTTGGACACCGAAGTCGGGTAATATCAGCTGGCGGCTATACCGTGCTATGTCATCGTTGGTCAACTTGGTGTGGGTAGTACCTCCTGGAGACACTAGTGCATTTTCTTCGGCGTGATCCTCTGCTCCGGCTCCGACGGAAACTGCGGCCTCAAGTTCCCGCAAGCACTGCTCTTTCCTGTTGAGCGCTGCTCGCAGCTCCGAGATCTCCCGCTTCAGCTTGGTCCTCTCGGAATCTGCCTCGGATTTGATCATTGGATTGCTTTGGAAATTGATCAACAGTGGGCAAAGTAATTTAAATAAATTTCTCTCAAGGCAATCAGCTGATCGATGGGCTGCTGCAGCGACTACCGCCGGTAAAAACAGAATTATCGATAACAACTGTACAAATAGTTATTAAACTAATTTGTTTTCCTTAATAATTATTAATTATTGAGCTGAACAAGCTGTTCATTGGTATCAGTTTGTATATTGTGGAGTTCCATTATAATTTTATAGAAGAATTATATGTTAAGCAATAACAATTTAATTAAAATTTACAATTATGTATTTCACAGCTAATAAAAATTTTTAAAATATACAATATTTTGTATAAATTCACATTCATGCATTACATTTCACATTCTTATAGCAATTAAAATATTATGTATTCAAGAGAATATCCCTGTTAACCTATTTGTCTTACTTTTCATTTAACGCCGGAACGTTCGATAGCCAAAGCCCACCTCGATAAATCGATAGCACGAACAGCTGTGCCGGCCGTGTTTTCTTCTCATTTCTCCACTGTGTTTACAATTATCTAATCGTAAATTAAAACTATGTCCTGGCTGGGCAATACGATTCAGAAGCTCGGCAGAGCCACGCTCCTGGCAGTGGGTGGAAAAGCACTCGCTCCCCTTACCAACACGAGCTCCACTGTGCGACAGTTATCCCACGCTGAGCGACGAGCACGCGGTCCCACTGTGCGGCGGTATGGATACGAGGACAAAATTTACAAGAGTGGTCTACTGCCCCATTTGGACAATGGACAAAAGCTGCCCATGCCAGTGTATCGTCCGAAGAACGCATGGTCCAAGAAACGCGCCCTGTTTGGCCAGAACGACTACATCGACATCCTGGGCAACGATCGACTGCATCCGGTGAAAGTCCTCTACTCCTTGCCCTCCTGGCTGCGTGGCGTCTCCGGCAACGAGTACCAGGTGCTGCTCCGCAAGCGCAGACTGCTCGAGAAGTCTAAATTCCCGATCGCCCGACCCACCAAATGGCGGGAAATGGAGAAGCGCATCCTATATCTGTACAGGTTCCTCAACCGCAAGACCAAAACGGGTTATTCACATCAGTAGATCCATTAAGATCAAATAAAATGTTTTGTTTTAATTTGATATTGTTTAGAGTTCACTTATTTTAAAAGTATGCCTGTCTGCATCTGTACAAAGTTCCTGAATTCTATTTTTTTTTGATCTGATATTGTTAATGCTTACTTCAAAACTATCCTCGCTTCCTCGCCATCTATCAAGATCTTCTGGCCATTAAACAAACAGAACTCGCGTTTAACGTGAGCAAACAGCAGATCGGTGATGAGGAATATCTGACCGGTGGAAAACGCCAGAGTGGCGCCAAAATAGAAATTTGCGTTTGCCGAACCCGCGTAGATCCACAAGTGCCACAGAGCTCCCATCATGGACAGCGTGACCAGGAAGAATGTGAAGACCACAAATCCGTGAGCCATGACTGAAATGTATGGACAAATAATTACCAGGGATATGCTGCTTGTTAGGTTAGGGACTCACATTTCCAGCATCTTTTCCACAGAGGAAGCAAGGCTAAATAAAAGCCCACATCGCCCAGGCTGGGATATGCTCTAAAAACAGCCATAAGAGCCACGAGGACGGTGGCTAGCAAAAGAGGTTCCTTGCGCAGCTTTATACTGAGTGGCACTAGGTATAATACTGTAGCATTCAATTGGAATGTGATTAGGAACATGGTTCGGAAGTGCTCGAACATTTCGGTGAAAAAATACCAAAACAAGCCGATATTAGGCTGCAGATCGCGGAAGTAAAATCTGTAAAATATATTAAAAAGTCAAAAATATATTAAATAGTAAAAAATAAAGCCACTGTTTTAAAACTCACATGAATCCCAGGGTGCCATCTAAGAAGTTCCAGCTATTTAGTACAAAAAAGTTGGCAGCCGCCACTATCAGGCAACTGACTATAAAAAGCAGCGATATGACCACACCCCTCCGAATGGAACTCCGTGAAAATACCAGAAGAAGGGGAGCTATCAGCACGATGGGATAGAAGCTGCGGACGGTCTCAAAGGCTAAAACCAAAAGGCAGGGAAGTAACAGTCCTTTTACGAGACAATAGAGAAAGAAAGCCAGAAACAGATTGCTTATCACCGTCGAGGTCATGCCAATGCAGCTCATCACGGTCAGCGGATTAAAAAGATACGCCACTATCACCAGTTCCGGAATGTCGAGCTTGTCCAGGCAGCTAAACTGCAGCTCTTCGGTATCCTTTGCGTATTCCTTTCGCTCCACGTTTTGTTGATCCTGCTTTTGTTTTACGAACCGTCGACTCATCGTATAAAGCAGGGCCGCAGTAAAGATATCCAGGATTATGTAGAATACGGGCAAGAACTGCGGGTAGTTTTTAAACAGGCCGGAAAGGGCGCTTAGAATCAGAGGCGACTCGTGGACCAAGTCGCCTTGGTAGGGATCAATGCCGCTCTGGAGAAGGAAGATCCCTTCTTGCACTGCAGTGATAAAACCAGGAAAACATTCATGTACATATATTTGGTGTCTACTTTGTTTACTCACTGCGCTTGTGTGAATTCAAAGGCGTCGCAAACTCCACTCGGTTGCCAATCATAGCGGCCAGCGGGGTGCGGCAGAAATAGAAGCGCACGGCGCCGCCTAGGAGGAGCAGTTTGAAGAATTTGGGATCCATACTTTAATTGGGCATAGTTTTTGGACGTCTACTGACTCCGCCTGAACGAAGCCGCGTACAGCTGTTCTTAGTGGTGGCAAAGGCCTCCGGTGGGTTTTCGATAATAGATGTCAACTAATATTCACCAGTGATTTGTAACGAAAACCCCTCACGCAGTCATCTTTAGCTGGTGCAGTCCATGCTGCCAGTGCCATCTCTAACCGCTCTTGTTGTTTTTTGACCGCACTTGCTTTCTTAAATTGATGAAACTCTAATTTAAACTATTTAAACACAGCAAATACTATTAAATATGATTGGAAGCAAGAAAGCAAAAAAGGCGAATGTCTTTAAGGAAATAGCGGATAACTTCGAGCAGCTGACCAAGAATCCGGAGCGTTTTCTCAAGTTTGTTTTTCATTCAGTGCCCGCGCACGTGTTTTTTTCAAGCGAATTCTAAACAATTTTTATTTTAGGCCACAGCCGGATCAAGTGAAGGCCATCGAGAAGCTTATTCAGCAGACGTACGCGGTTAGCATTAGCGGCGATGTGGCGAACAAGAAGGCACTGCTGCCAGAACTGGTGCTAGAGGAGATGGACGAGGAGCAGATCTGGCAGCAACTGGAGATGCGCAATGAATTGGTTTTCCAGCAGCTCCTGGAGCAAACAGCTCAGATGACGGCGATTCGGGAGCAACAACTGGGCATTGAGTTGGACGACGGCGAGGAACAGGAAGAGGAGGATGAGAATGAGGATGCTGAAGAGTCAGTTGATGAAGAACAAGAACATGAATCAGACTTCAGCGGGGAGGATGGAGAGCAAAGCAAACAGAAGACCACATCGCCCAAAGAAAAAAAGTACAAGCGGGCTCGCAACTCTGTTGTGGACGACACATTCTTCAAGCTAGATGAGATGAACGAGTTTTTGGAGCAAGAGGACGCCAAGGAGATGCGCCGGCTGAACAGTAAGCGTGGTGTGGAACAGGTGGATGACATTGATCACTATGCAGAGGATTTCGGACTGGGAGAAGATGAAGATGGCAATGTTAACTATGCAGATTTCTTTGACATGGACGAGGAGCTGGAACAGCATGCTAAAAAGATTAACAAAGGCAAGCAGAAAGATTTCTTCAATGAAAACGAAAGTGAGGATGAGCAGGAAGAGGATGATAATGAAGAAGCCGATTCAGATCAGAGCGAAGGAGAAGACAAAGCAGAACCTGAAGAGGATAAAGAAGAAGCAGCCAGCGAAATAGATGAATCGGAGTTTGTGGAAAAAAGTGGTATAGAACCCGCCAGCGATTCAGAATCCGATTCGGAAAAAGAGGAGGATGAGCAACAACCTGTGGAGAAACCCTCCCAATCCTCTAATGAGATGAGAGAGGCTCGTTTGTTTCAACGCATTCGCGACTACGAAGACGTTGTCCTTGGCGATAAGCCTTGGCAGTTGAAGGGCGAAGTTAAAGCGGCCAATCGGCCGCAGAACTCGCTACTTGAGGAGATACTTGACTTTGACTCCACCACTAGACCCACAGCGCCCATTACGGAAGAGGATAATCGTTCCATCGAGGACATTATCAAGCAGCGTATTCGCGATAAAGCCTGGGACGATGTAGAGCGCACAGTGCGTCCAGTAAACACGCCGCAGGAATACCGAAAGCAGCTGGTCCTGGACCAAGAAAAGTCAAAGCAGTCCCTGGCGCAGATCTACGAATCGCAGTACCAGCGCGAGATGGAAAAACTAGACCCCAATCGCGATGCCGATGATAAATCTGGTCCGGAGCCCAAAGAACACCAAGAAATCAAGCGGGCAATGCGTACACTGTTTCTTAAACTGGACGCTCTATCCAACTTCCACTTTACCCCGAAGCCAGTGGCGCCGGAGGTCAAGATCGTGACCAATACGCCCGCAGTACACATGGAAGAAGTGGCCCCGTTGGCGGTGAGTGATGCCAAGCTGCTGGCGCCTGAGGAAGTATTCCGTGGACCCAAGCATGCTCCTCTTGGTAAGACGGAACGCGATCGGACAGACAAGAACCGCGAGCGCCGCAAGAAGAAACAGAAGCAGCGGGCCATCAACTCGGCAGTGGAGCAGCGCGAACTTCAGCGCGCGAAGGAGGGCAAGGCACCTACGAAGAAGGAGGCGGACGCCAAGCTCCTGAAGAGCATCACCAAGAACCGTAATGTTGAAAAGGTAACTATAAATATAGCTTCAAACAGTTTTTTGATATTTTTGGCATTTGAAAGTTTGAAACAAAATAACCCTTATTTTAAGTTTTTTACAAATTATCAAAGGCATTAGATGTTAAATACGAATTCTATATTTCAGATCAACGCCAGCAGCAATGACCATGGTGCTATGAAGTCCTCCAAGGCGTTCTTTAACAAACTGCAGGACACCACTGCGGCTACAGCGTCTAACAAGCGACCCAAAAAGGATCCAGCAAAGGCTAATGCAAAGAAGCTTAAGCTTTAAATATACTGTTTAAGACTTCTCCATCTGGTAATTGCCTTCATCCAGCCAAGTTTTTTCGTCTCAGGTCACGTGCCAAAAAACGGCCACAAGCACACACAAAAGTCCACAAAGAAATCCTGGTTGCAAGAATAACTTTGGCGTATCCTTCGAGCAAACCAAGTGTTCAAATTGGGCACCATGGGATATGCCATGTGCCAGTACTTTTAATGTTCCCTTTTCGGTATGCGTATGTGATGTGTGGGCGATTTGTGTGTGAGTCAAGGACATTCGGTGGCCCGGTGGGACGATTAGGCACGCGTGCATTGTGCGAAATATGATTATTTTTAGAATTATTTACTTAAAATAAACTGTTTGCTATGTAAATAGAACCGTAATTAAAGGAAGCTGCAAGTAAGTAAACTACTTGAAACATGATAACTTTTTTTCTGAAGACACTGGACAATTGTTTTCGTTGCAGGCCTATGGGTGTTAATTCAACTGCATTTCTTTTTGTTTTATACGCCTCGTATTTGCGATATATTAATAATTCATAACACATTTGCATGTGCTATAGCAAATTTTGTCTATATAAACATAACTTTTAGCGATAAGCACGCTCATTTTACAATGTCTTATTTTGACGCTTTCCGCTAAAGTAATCCAATCGAATAAAATTGTTTGGTCATTATTTTCTTAAAAACTTTTGTTAAGTTTGCTCTCAGAAGATATATTTTAGCTGATAATGCTACTTTTTCTTATTTTTGTTTTTAGAAACAGAATTTAAATGAAATTTAATTAGGCAGAAAAAAGGTTGAGCTGCTATAAAACCAAGCAAGAACAAAAACTCATTGAATGGTAAAACCAAAAATTAATGTAGTTTTAAGGAATTACAATTATATTTTTTTAATAGGAAATTTACTAGTTTAATTATGAAAACATAAAATATAAGTTCACCACGGTTTGTGGTTTGAGTCCTGGACACTTATTTAGCCAAGATCCCCTTTATGTGTTGAGGCGCAATATTTTTATTGAAGCTCTCCAACATGGTGAGTTGCCGTCGAAATTGATTTCGTTATCGGTCTTGATATATCGATACTTACCCATCTCTAGAGCATAGCACGTGTGGTTGTATTCAATTTAAAATATAGTTTTGCTCGAGATAATACGTTTCAATCGCCCTAGTAAAGATGGTTAAAGTACAGAAACCCCAGGCCAAGTCGCTGAATAAGAGCACCAGCATCGAGGGCGTGGCCAAGAAAAAGGGAAAGCCGGAAAAGTCCATTAAACTGCCCAAAGAAGCTAATTTAGAATTGGTCAGCAACAAAAAGATCAAAAATGTGGCGTCTCAAAAAAACGATGCCGCCAAAAAGGAGCCTAAGGTGATCAAAAAGGAAGCCGAAAAGAAACAGCCAAAGGCGGTCAAAAGGCCTCTCATTTTGGCCCCTCCTGAGTCTCCGGCTGCTACTCCTGTAGCAGAGAAGAAGTCCAAAGTAAAGCCGGCTGTTCCCGCCACTCCAGTGTCCAAGAAGAAGACATCCCAGAAGCCCCTCATTTTGGCTCCTCCAGAATCGCCAGTGGCACCCAAAAAACAAGAGAAAAAGGTTAAAGGAGGTAAAAAAGACGCAGCTCCAGCTAAGTCTGCTCAGGATGCTGTTCCAGTCAAGAAGCCAGCTGAGGCTGCTCCTCCAGCTAAGAAGTCGGCGAAGGTTGCGCCTCCAGCCAAAAAATCAGCTCAGGTTGCTCCTCCAGCCAAGAAATCAGCTCAGGGTGCTCCTCCAGCCAAGAAATCAGCTCAGGTTGCTCCTCCAGCAAAGAAGGAGATTTCAGCTGCCCCTGTGACCAAAAAGGCAGCCCAGTCTGCGCCTCCCGCCAAAAAACCCGCCCAAGCTGCTCCGCCCGCGAAAAAATCCCAGAGCCCAGCTGTTGGGCAATCAAAAAAGACCCAAAAAACCACCAAGGAAGCAACCCAAGCCAAGCCGACAAAGGCTCAACCCGCTACCCAGCTCCAAAAGAAAAACAAGTCGGCGCAGAGGCTTTCCAAACCCGCCAAGGCTCCCAAATCCAAGAAGTCCTTTAACGGGAAGAGCAAAGCTGGCCAGCCGAAAGGCAAAGCTGCCAAGAAGGAGCCGGCCAAGGCCAAGAAGCCTGTTGAGCTGACCTTCGAATTGAAGTCCTTTGACGAACAAAGGTACAAGGAGATTGTGAGCGAGAATAATGTTACGAAGGTGTGCCAGGCGTTGAAGACACTAGTGTCCGAGGAGGTGGCGAAGAAGAAGACTACCTCGATCTTCACCGACTACCGCTACGTTCTGCAAGTGGCTAGCTACAAGATTCCCAGCTGTCCCAAGCGCATGGTCAAGTTGTCTCTAAAGCATTCGCTGGTTGGCAGCGACGACGACGTGGCCATCATAGTGCCCGATTTGCAGCGCGGTGCCAAGTTCGAGTCTGATCCCACCAAGCAGCACTACGAGGATCTGCTGCGAGAGGCCGGCGTGAAACAGCGCCTGACCGTCATCCCCTTCAACCAGCTGCGCAACGAGATGGGCACCTTTGAGGCCAAGCGCAAGTTCCTCAACAGCTACGACTACCTGCTGTGCGACGGTCGCCTCTCAGGCCAGGCAACCGCCTTTTTGGGCAAGGTAAGCAATCTGCTTTTTCTCCTAATGAATGCATTCCAGGAACCCGTCTTTTGAAAGCGAAATAATCCACGTAAAAGTATAAGTACATTCGTTTGTATACCAAAAAAGTATATTGTTGATCTAAAGCAGGGTTTATAAACGGAACAAACGGATATTTCGGCTGCTACCAATACCAGTATTGTATTAACGAAGTCTTATCATAAGAAGAAAATTGGTTTACAGAACGGTTTATTTAAATCAATTCGTATAAGTGATGGGTTCTCTATGAATTTTTAAACAACTTTTGATTTTATTAGGACAAAAAAAAAGGGCTTAACATAAAAAAAACAATTGGAGAGAAAAAATTTAAATATTTTAAACGCTATCTTTATTTCTATCTAATCTTTTTTTTTCATTTGCAGAACACGCAGAAGTCTCGTAATGTGCTCCACGCCGTGCGACTGAGTAAGGATAACGACAAGTTGTCGCAGGAGATTACACGTGCACTCAACCGCACTGCATTCAGGCAGCTGGCCAAGGGCGATCTGACGGCCATTCCAGTGGGCAACCACGAGCACAGCGCCGAGCAATTGGCTGAGAACATTCTGCTTGTCAGCAAGCAGCTCCAGCAAGTATATGCCGGCGGCTTGGCCAACATTCGGTCGCTGTACATTAAGATCGACATTACGGGCACCACGTCGCTGCCACTGTACGTCAGCATGTGTGCACCGCCAGCGGATACACCTTATGTGGTGGGTCCTAAAGAGCAGCGTATGCTTAAGCTGAAGAAGCAGGCCAACGAGGTACTGTCCAGATTTGCCATGACCAAGGATGCGGAGTTCGTGAAGCTCACCAGCGATCAGGTCAAGCGCAAGGCCGAGCTGCGCGAAGAAAAGGCGGCCTTGCTGGCCGCTGATGCTGCTCCCAAGGATAACGATGGCGAGGACACTGCCGTGCCAACAAAGAAGGCCCGCAAAGAGTCGGCCAGCGAGGGCACCAAGGCTGAGGCAGATTCCGATGAAGAGGAAGATGTCGAGGAGGCGGAGGACAGTGCCGGCGAAAGCGGCGAGGATGGCGACGACACTGATGATGAGGACATTGATGAAGAAAATGAAGATGATGATGACGAGGACGACGATGAGGAAGATGACGACGAAGAGGAGGATGATGATGAAGATGACGATGAGTAATCTAACCTTCTGGCTAAATTGCTCTTCAGTAGTTATAGTTTTATTTCTATATATGCAAACTAAACATGCTATAATTCCGTTTGCAATTTTTATAACAGTTTTAAGTAATAAACGAATGTTTTAAGTATGGAAGTATTACTGTTCTTTTTTTGTCGTTTTCTACAGGGATTGGATCTTACAAATGTATTGACGAAAAGGATTTTACTTAAACGTAGTGTTGCCGTTGCTGAAATACCGGGCATAAATATATTTTTAGAACAAGCTATCATTCATTACGAGTTCTATTTCAAGTAAGAAATTACTCTGAGTGTATGATTTTATACTTCAATATCACTCAATTATCACGCGCAATAACTGGGAATTGCATACACACTATAGTTAATTAAATTTAATAGCATTTCTGTAATTGTCGATATGTAAATCAGTAGATAAATGTTTTGCCCAATGGTTTGCAAGTGATTCGCATGAATATTCGCACGCAAGCCCATATCTGCATATCCACATCCTCAAATCAGGCATGAACCCTATGGTCACCGATTTTAATGCCTTTTCCAGATTGCTACGATGTTTGTCCGCGGAAAATGGCTCAGATTCCTGTTGATGTATCACAGCTCAAAGTGGATGCCAACAACCCTTACTCGTCGTGGCATCCTTTTAGGTCATAAAGTCGGAATATGCATTACGCCCCCGGACTTCGAACAGCGGGAAGCTGCAACGTGTATACAACAAAGTCAATTTCAATTTTCATAAGAACTGATTTATATGCATGCGTATTTTTCTATATGTTTTCATAAAGCATCCCGATTTCAATCCATCCAGTGGGAGTACATCAAAATGCAATTTCTTTGATGTCTCTGACGAATAATGTATGAGGGGTCAGGGTACAAGAGGTTGACCAAAAGTGGCCATACGCTTGCATAATTCCTCTTAATTATCCTTGTGGATTGCTTCTGGCTTGCAGGAACTTTGACAGCTGTAAGTCCAAGTTCACAACTGTCTTGTTTAATTCCATTTGAGATCCATTGGGCTTTTTTATGTGGGCAAGGTCGCGGCTCTAGAGATTAGAATCACGTCCAGGCGAACCGCCAAATAAATACAGCAAAAACCGAAATCAAGCCGGACACGTCGTCGGGAGCAACAAAAACACTGTAATGCTTTCAGTCCAAATAATCATTAGCCGCGTTTTCTGTGGGTGCCATAAAATTCATACATATTTGTATATGTGCAGATAAACATGTATAAGTCTAGAGGATATGGGCAGTTAGAATTCCCTTCACACGCATTTGGCATTTCCCCATTTCCGTTGGCCATTCCATTAATCTACATAATTTGCTTCAGCCAAAGCTTCAAAAAAATGTAGGTCAGTAGAAGGATTGAGAACGAGTTTTTTGTTTTAAATATGCCAAACGATTTTTTAATGGTGCCTGAGGTAAATTATAAAAAATGAAGAATGAAAATGAACTTTGGCAGGCCGAAGATTTGATTTTCCAGCATTAAGGACCATGAATCTATTGGTTTAATTTTTACTTTGTAATCTGTAGAATATAGTTTGAATTGGACTCTATTTTAAAGGCTCAAAATACATAGATATCAAATTGAGTTAAGGAACTCAAAAATTTAAATCGGCTTATCACTCGTTTCTATTTTTAAAAGCTTAAACATTTTCTTAAGATTTGATAGTCCTAAATAGTTTCCTTGTATAAGACAGCAAATATAACACCTTTTTTTTATAAATATTTATTAAACATTTATTATTATTATAATATATACCAACAGTAACCATTCAATTATAGGTGTATGCCATGATATAACTTTCTTATCTATTTCGGGATTTCATCATTTCGATATTTGCCTTTAATGGACGACTAATTGTGAGTATGCGAAAATAACCAAATAATTTGTGATAGTAATCTCCCTGATTAGTCAGAGCAGTTCTCTAGAACGGCGAGAAATGTGATGTAATGCCAATTATGAGATAATGCGCGAAGAATTATTAATAATTTAATATATTGGCGGGATTTATATTGGATTTGACGGCTGACAGCTGCCGGAGCTAGGCCACTAATTGAAAACAATCCGATGCTGATTAGTCCGATGCAGATAGCATGATCGATGGACTATTCGATAATTGTGCGTAATAGATGATTAATAAACTGATACAGACCGTATCCAACTGGTTGCCGTTGCCCTTTTGCCACGTGTTGCGTATACGACTGGTGGACACCACCCACCGACTCCCCATGACTGCGCAAAATCCCGACCAACCATCATATTGTGGGCGGCTAACTTCGGATGCCGAACATCGGGATTCCCACTCGGGTGCCACCTGAACGCGTTGAAATCTTTCGTATCCTCGCCTCGTATAAATCGCGGTCTCCTTGGCTGCCGATTTTCACTTGCGTTTCAGTTCAGTCTCAAAGCGGTGCAGTCAGCAGCAGTAACGGTTAATATATACACCCCGATTCAAAAACTTTTTTAAAATTTCTTAAAACCGTTTCACAACGTTTTTGAACTTTGTTTTTGTGTTTTGCAGTGGAACCGATCTAAAATATATTCGAACTTTCAACAGATTTAAAATAAAGTGTTTTGTGAATTTGTAAAAAGAGGTGAGTGAAATATTTAATTTAAGAACTTATTCTTATTGGTGTATTTCAACATAAACAACTTAATATTTCAAAAGGGTGCACTTTATTTAAAGTTTTAAAAGGAAAATTACAAAAAAAGTGCGATAGATTAATACATTTAAAAAGGTCCGATTTTGTTTTAGATTAAAATCAAATCGATAGATATTTTGGTGTTCAATATAAAAATTTGGTTAAAAAGATTGTAGATATGCATTTGTATTTTGATCTAGTAAATATTGAAGTACAAGAAAGATTTTTAAAATGATAATTTAGCAAAAAAATATAATAATAAATTAAAATCGATTGCAAAAAAAGGTTATAACAAGGGAAATACATACTCTAACATATTTATCAATCAAAAGCGTAGATAAAAGAGCAATCAATTTATTTTAATGAATTTTTTATCTAACAGAAATATTTATTTAAATTTAATAGGTTGGCAATTAAACAATTGGATATTTACCACATGGTTTTTTATTAATACTTACAATTTAATAGTTTGGCAAACTAAACCAATTTTCCGTCGGGAAAAAAATTTTGCCAATATTTTAGATTAGGTACTAAAATATATTATGGATAAGCATAATTATTGTTAACAAAAATCTTAAATTTTTTTTTTTGCAAAAACAATTAAAAAATTGCAAGCCAAAAAATTGTTCTTTATTATGGATTACATCCATATTACTAAAAAACTTTCCTACATTCAATGTAACAATTGGCAACTACATTTATAGGTGGTAGTTTAATTCCTAAGTTATTCTGAACATAAAATCAAAAATATGTGAGAAATCCCAGCATGAACTCGTGTTAAACATTTCGTTCCGACTTCCACTTAATTATGTTTTTATGGCTCAAAAATTTCATATGTTTATAATTCAGTAAATGCTCCGGCCTTTTAGAAATTGCTTCTTAGCTGGCCTAAGCCATAAAGTCAACATGGAACCCAAGACCTCGGCGGCGGTCCTCCGATGATGTGTGTTGAGCCCAGGACATTTGTTGCTTCCCCTTTGTCCTTGCAGGCTGGGCTCGCTTTTGGCTTTTGGCCTAGGCGACCTTTTTCCTCTTGTATCTCGGAAAAATCTTTATTTTATGCTGCAAAATTGAAGTTGGCCCCTTGGCTTTATTACCTCTTGGCTTGGGCCAAGTAAGTCCTTTGGATTATCGCAATCATTTTAAGCTTTACTTGGCTCTCATATTAGAGCACCCTTATAGTTTTATGATTTTACGGAAAGCTCTACTTGCTCTTAGCTGTTTTCAACTTAAATTGCTAAAACTTGCAAACGTGCGAACGAAACTTCTTCATCTTAAAATTGTGCAACTTCTAATCTTAAAGTTCGGCAATTGAAATTTATTTTCTTGAATTAATAACAACAGTTGGTGCTCCAATTTCCCGGAAATTGCTCATTTGTGCAGTGATTCGAATGACTTGGTGCCCCCGCAAAACTTAAAGAAAACTCCAACAAATTGCTAGTGGAATACAGCTTTAATTTCCATGTATAATAAATGAAAAATTCAATTTCAATTACTCACGCACCAAGTTGAAATCCATCTATCAGGAACATAAAAAACAGGAATAATTGAAAAATGATGAAATTAAAACTATATTTAAGTGATGTACATTGCAAATCCGCTTAGCTGCAGTAGTAAATGTGAGATGGTTTTGCACAGTGTCCCAAGCTAGGCCACACATTTCATGCAAATGCTTCTAATCCTGTCGCTTTTTTACTTGCTATTAATATATATTTCAGTGCTGAAATTTAATATTCAGTTTGGCGAAAGAAATTATGAAAAAGCGGATTATGTTTTATATTGCTTTGTTTGCGGCATTACAACTTCGTATTTGGTTTTGTTTTCCTTTTATTTTGCCTGCTCTTTTAAATTGGTTTCAATTTCTGGGGTTCAGAAAGCTTAAACATTAATCATAAAAAGGTTTATTGTTTAATTTAATATGTTATGGAGTTTACAACATTTTTTTGCACGATCTTTTCATTTTTTATTCGCAATAAAAACGGATTTTAAAAATCAGTTTAAAAATGTAATAAAATGCATCATCAAAACTTATTTTCCAAAACCAAAATGATTTTTAATCCTGACCTTATCGGTTTAATTGAAACAGAGATAAGGATATTTAAATTACAATACGGAGAAATCATTAAACAACATTTTAGTTTAAAGAAACAATACTACTGTTTCCACATCTTCTTTTACCTTTCGATCATTTTATGTTGCCTACTTTCTTGCGGAAAAGGCGATTTCTGGGAAATTCAATTCTCTCGCTCAGGTGCTTTGAATGAAATGGAAGGCGTTGAAAACTACTTATTTTCCTGCCCTGCCCTCCGGTTGTTTACGAAATGCTTTCGACTGTGACAATTTGTGGACGATTCTTGTTTTCTTTAAATTTACAAAAAGGAATAACACGTAACAAAAAAGACACAAGATACGCAGACCGTAAAAGGCCAGATGATTTGGGTTTAGGGATTTCTTCCCTCTTGCCGTGCATTTTATTTTATCCTTGGGTCTGTAAAAATACTTAGATGCGCAAACTTTTCATACTTAATGAATTCGTGTAGGAATAAAGGAGTTTACCTCGACCGGGCAACAATTAAAAAATGCTTAAGCAAAAGACTTTAAAAATTCACTTGAGCATGGCAAAAAAGGGGCTTAAACCTTAAAATACATAGACGAAGCCTAGGGAACTTTCGGGCTAAAATGTTTCATAACAATCTTCGGAGCGGGAACCTGCCGTTGGACTGCTGTTTCTAATTAAATTTGCATATTTTTATTAATTAAATTGTTTGGCCAGTGTTTACTGAAAGCTTCTGAACTTTGGACCGCCTCACATGTGCAAGCTAATCACTGAAGGGCAAGGGAATCCCCTCCGAAAATTAACACGCCCCATGGCCATGACAAAGCAAACAAAGTGGGGACAATTGCAAATGAAATTTGAATGCTTGCCACGCTCGCTATTTGAACGAGTCCTGTTTACCCTCTTGTAAATTCGAAGAACTTTAGATTTGGACCATTTCCGGGCTCATTTCCGCATTTATTGCATTCTTATTATGAGAAGTATTTCGTACATAATTTTTCAGTTTTATAACCCCCTAAACGAACTCTGTATGAATTTAATTGGGCACGATTCTTGTGCCAGAAATGTTTACGCCTCCAATTAGCCGAGTTTATGAATTCATAAACTCTCAAAATACCAGGGGTGTACAGCTTAATAAAGTGGATTTTGTCTGGTTATGGTGTAAGCAAATAAACTCCTTATTAAAAGTTGATTTTAAAATGGGTAAACAAATTTTTGTATTTTTTTCCAGGCCAATTAGGGTGAGGTTTAAAGTATCAAGTTATTAGATATTTTTAGTTTTGTAGCTATTTACTAGAGTTTCAAGGCAATGCATCGAGAATTAAAATAATTCTGTAGCAATGTTTATGATCATTAAGTATAAAGTAAATTAGGAAACTGATAGAAAAATTAATTTGATATTTTCATATGAAAACTGGAAAATTCAATTTTACTGAGCTAAATTTTATAACAATAGAAAATAAAAAAATATTTTAATACAAATTTACATCAGTCATGTACAACTTTTTTAAAATGTACAAATAAAAATAACTTGTTAAGGAAATATGAATAGAAGTGTGTAAGCCCTAGTAAATTCCTGATATTGTATTTAGATAATACAACTTTTTTTATTGGTTATCCATCATGGTTTTGGCCAAGTTAAACTGCATTAACGTTTTTATATAGATCACCAAGCATTTCAAGTTCCACAAGCTTAAATCTACCTTAAGTTAAGAACCAATTTATCTAATAGATTTATTTAAGTGTTTCATTTTTGGTTGAGCTGTTTTACCTCTTATTCCCCAACCAATTTTTCAGTTTCACTGCTGGTTATTTTTCACCTCATTTGATTCATCTATACTACTTACGCCCTCATGGGAGATAAATTTGGTCATGGTTGATTTTAACCTCTTAACATATAAATTTTCACTTTCCGTTTCCATTTGCATCGCCATAAACTGGAGCAGCCCGCCCTCTGCTCCACGAGCAACACTTTGATGGCATTTCCCCATTCTGCTGCCAAATATTTATTCACATTTAAAAAGTATTTTATGTTGCATTTTCCTATAAGCATTCCTCGGGCTCTGGACTCCTGCTCCTGCTCGTGATCCTGCTGCCACGTGAGTCCAAATACCATTCCCCGGTGATAAGACATGCATTCGACCCCCCCGAAAACCCCATCCGTCTCCTTTTTTGTTCTCAGACATGCTTTGGCGATGGGTTTTTATGTGTGCTCGTTCCTTGGGACTGTTTGCTTTCGCTCCTCGGTTTCCCCCTGAATTGTTTGTATGACAAAGTTAGCATTTTGTAATAAATTCGCTTTAAAAAATATTTGAACGTTTATGGTCGGCATTTAAATTAAATACTCTTCGCCAGCTCAGCTGGCTCTGAATGGAAAGAAAAGCCAATGAAATGTCTTTTCACGGATACAAGTATGAATTTGAGGATGGGGAACGATGAAAAGTTCATTATGCTAATGGTTTGCGTTACAGCAGGTTCACAAATGAAAAAAAAACCAAAATATTATTTTAATAAGAAAAAGTAAATAAAATGTAATACCTCAATGAAAACAATGCCCGAAACAGGTTTTAAGGACCTTTAACTGCATAAGCAGAGCAAATTCCTTGGGTTAGGATGAGTGCATTTTCTTGTTTACTTTTCCGTCTCAATTACCTTTTTCAAAGGAGCAGTATAACCAGAATTAAACCTTAAAGGTCTCGAAAGTGGCTGAGCTTATGTCTTGCCATTCCAAAGGCAATTAAAGATACTTGAACGACTAGGGTAAATATCAAAATGTGTAGCTAGCGAGCTCAAAGTGAAGCTTTGTGTTATCGAGGAGAAACATTTACATTTAGCAACTGGCAAACAGAAATTCAATGCAAAATAAGAGCAATCGAGTGGGGTTACGGGGGGCGGG